CGCAGAACCAAAATCGTCATTGATAGCCTGGTCCGGAGCTTCAAATCCAAACCATGGCAGAAACCACAGCTGAATCACAGCTTGCACACGCTTTCAATCAACGCCTCGTTTGACACGAGACACGTCGCCAAGCTATGCCAAAAAGCTCTCTTCTTTACGGCTCAGCAGGCAGCATGACGTATGGAGTTGGTGCTGCTGCCAATGCGGACCTGGGACGAGCGTGCAAACAAGATGTAATTATTCAATGAAACAGTAGCTATTCAGTGAAACAACATTCTTGCATATATAATTTTACATTATATATATATATATACATATGTGACTGGTGTGACCAGCAGCAAGAACCCCAACCTGTCTCGTCCTCAAGACTTCCAAAGGCTGATGCCTATTGTATGAAACCAAGAAATTTTGTACCCAAAATCACCAAAGATTGGCCTCAATCAGTCAAACTCTCCTCCCACATGGCACCACCGGGTGACTCTACCTTTTCCTGCAAACCGTGGCCCTTGAGCCAGTAGGTAACGATCGCGGAAGCTTAGCCGCTGCATCGGAAGCCCCTGAAATGGGAGAGACAACCGAATGGGCATGACGGAGGTTGTGGACATGCATGGACAAACCGAAGGCATGCTGGCAAAATCAACACTCGTCTATCTTTTAAATTCGATTGTTTATCCAAGTAACCCCAAACTTACGATTTGCGTTTTGTTTAAGAGTCAAGTCTTCATCATATATGCGGAACTTGCCAAGCTGCAAAACGGTTCGAAGGAACGTCGCATCCATCGGCTTTGTAAGGCAGTCTGCTAGCATTATGGCTGTAGATACCCATCTGCAAATGGTATGATCTTTCGACTGTTCTTTTAACAGCATTACTTCTATCATGGTGCGCCACTCCTGGCAGTTTGGCACTGCATTTTTCGTGACCAGATCAAAAAAGGATCTGCAGTCTGTGATCATCGGCCCATGCAGCTCATCTCTAAGTGAAGTTTCTGGCTTATGCCGGGCAAAGTTGGGATTTTTCACATACCCCCACATGCATCTTATCCAGGTGAGTTTATCAAGTGAACTGGACATGGAGTAAGCCTCTGCACTTAAAGTAGAACGAACTACCCGTCCGATTTGTTTGGAATGCCGTACAACAGGGGAAAACTCTGCAGTTTCGATTTTGGCCAAACTGGGTGTGCACGCCATTATAAACAATCCCTGCTGCGCAGCTAATTGCTTAGCTGAAGCAAAACTCGCCTCCAAAGCTAGCGAAACAAACCTTTTCAAAGTCCAGAGGTCGGACTATGACTGCCGTATCTGCGAACTGCTGAGCCTCTTTGAGTACTCTGTTTCCTTCGAGAAGGGTCTCCACTGTGGCTGAGTTTATACCCTTTTGCAAACTGGCTACCTTGGTGGCTATATCTGGTCGGGAGTGAACCGCGGCGCGGCATATTGCAAACTACCACACAACCCTCTCAAGAGATGAAGTTCTTGTGAAGTAATGTGACTTGAAGTTTCTGAACGGCGTGGTTTTGGAATATTGACGGGGGAAATTTTGTGAACATATTTACTTTGACGTACTTTGATTGAGTAGTCTGGAAGTTGCTCTATATCCAGTCCTGTGAATTTGAACCTACTGTACTCTCTACTGCCGAAAGGAAGGGTTTTCTGGAGTTTCTCCAAAGCAAGCTCAAACCTTGTGTTACCTCCTCCGATTCCATCATCTACATGAGTTCCTAAGATCCCATCTAGTTGATTCCTATTTTCTGGGTTTCTCAAGAGGAACAAGCAATTGTCCAGCGGATGGGCTTCAAATCCGATTTCCTCCAGGCGCTTCCTGAACTCAGGGTAAAACAGCAAAGGTGCATCGACTCTGCCATATGCATTCCCTTGGAGTAGGCAGGCTTGCGAATTGTCCATGCCCAGCAATGCTTTCAACTCGGCTGGTGCTTCCATTGACAATTCCCGGCTGTCTGACCGCCCTCTGAGAAACGCTGTGGTGATATCAAACGATTGTACTACCCAATGTTTACTGGCAATTTTTTGAAGTAACAACATTCTGGAGTCTAGTGAGAGTCGGACTATCTGAGTTGAGAATGCCAATATCAGGGTCTTGAAAACCTTTCACCACCAGTCTCGCTTTTGCTTTCTTCCCAAGTGGAGATTGTAGGTCCTGTTTCCAGGTGAGAATACATCGTGAAGAAAGTATTCTACTTGGGTGTATGTGATCTCGAACACTGTATTGGTATCCAACCAACATCGCAACTCCTTTTGTTTGGCGGCATTGAAAAGCTCCTTTTCTTCCTTAGTTAGTTCATGATACACTACTTCATTTTTGGACATCTTGGCGGCAGCAATCAAGCACGGAAGATAGTTCTCAGGCTGTTGCAGGTAGCGGCTCAACTGCTGAGTGGGGACATCAAAATCAAAGGATGCACATTCTTCTCCTCTATGGTCCACTGGATGCCAAACAGTTTCCTGATCTTCAATTATGATATCAGCTCCCTGACTATTTTCCAGTATCTTGGCATTATACACTGGTTCCATAGCGGGGTCAGTGGAAATTCAGGCATTATCATGTTCCTGGTCAGTTTCCATGGACTCGTGCATATGTCCCTCCGCAGGAGGATCTGTCCTTGGAGATTCTGAGACAGGTGTATTCTGGGCTTCTGCAAGGCGTCGGGCATCCTCCATGAGGATCTCGGATCTGCGCCTGGAGGGCTCCTCTTCAGGTTGTTAATTTGTCTGTTCAAGTACTGCATTCTCTTGGACAACTTTGTATGTACTGGGATAAGCGTAAAGCACCGAATATGTTGGAAAAGGGACGTTGGAATGGCCCTGCTCAAGTCGTTTGCCAAGAGTCTTGAGTCTCGTACCATAATTTGGGTGTCACACCTAAATAGGTTGCTGCGATGTGCCAAGGAGAATTTGCCTCGTGTCCATGAGAGAATTCGAACAACATGCTACATTTGTCCAGACGTCAACGCCTGAACAAGTGCAGAACATGGCATCAAGACTCCAGCAACAACTCCAATCCCGCAGCGGACTCTTCTAATACCGAGACTTAAGTGGGATAGGCCCTAGCTATAACCCTGAAGAAGAAAATGAAGGTCCCATAGATAACGATAATCTCATGACCAGTTATGGCTAACCCCTCTAGACTGGTGTGCAAGTGCTCGGCGAATGGCTTCACTGTTGTCTGCTCTAGAGAAGGCTGCCCTGGCGGCTGCTCGAAGAAGTTCCAAGTGTTGACGGAACTTCTCTGACGCCAGGTCTTCGCCATGGCTAGTCAGATGGGAACTGAGGTCCTCATCTGAAGTCACAGAAGCTGGTAGTTTTGAGGCTTTTCCAAGAACTGCTTGTTCGGGGCTATATCCCGCGGTGACAGCCATAGTGTTTTTGGCATGAAAACACTGTCGGAGAACATCATCGAACTGTTGGATGTTTTCAATAGCCTTCTCATGATCTATCCTATTCAACATTTCTTGGATGATGCCCCCGTGTCGTTCAATACGACCACGCTGCCAAGCGGCTGCAGAAAGTATTGGCTGGATGCCTTGCTCTTGGAGAAAGTTCTTCCACTCATCAGTCACAAACTCCCCGGCCTCATCATGTGCTATCATTCTGGGATTTGCAGCCCATTGGACCCATGTATTTTTGACCATTTTGGTTAGGTGTGCACTGTCTCTATGCGTGCGCAAACCAAGGTGGAACCTAGTTGCTTCATCAAGTATGTGCCAAACATATACTTGTATCCCATTTTTCCCCTTCCATTCAAAACCATCTATGGATATTTTGTCATTAAATTTCATTGGTTCTTTGAGGTTTCCTGGAGTGGTTTTCTTGGGACCCTGGCGTTCTGCACATGGTGCGCATAGATAGTCGGCTGCACCTACGACAAGTTCTTGTTTGGCCCCCTGTGCTGACATGTGACGTGACAGTCTTTCGGCTGTTGGGTGTCCAAGATTGTTATGTAACTTCCTAACGGTTCCTTGATCAGCTTCAGACAGTGACGAAAATCGAGGACCAGACACGGTGGCAGTCAGCGGTGTCCACGTTGGGACCGGTGCGGGGCTACGACTCTCGGAAATTATGGCTTCGGAGCCAGGTGGTTCATGGACTGGCATGCGAGATTCTTCGATCTCGGCTTCACGGCTGGCCTCATTCATGTCACACAGAGCATGATATGACACGGCACAGCCTTCCCATGTTGTTGATACCTGGAGAGCTTGGCCCACTCTTCTTGTCCTAGGTCTTCTATTTTTCTAGAGAAACGGTGCAGTGCAATGGTGTGTCGAATGGGACACTCCGAGTGCCATCCATGTTCATCACCGATGAACTTATCTAATCCCTTGCCGGACTTGATGGCAACAACGCGGTAGTCTGGCAGCTGTTCTTGAACAAGCTTGAAGACTGGATGCATTGGATTTGTCCACACCTTGACACCGGATTTGGGAAGCTCTTGCAACAACTTGACAAACACACGTTTCCATGGAGACTCTGATTCTATGTTAGAGCTTGGGGGTTCTGTCCTGCTTTTCTTTTTGGGAGGCCCTTCTTCTTCAGGATTATCTTCTACATGATACGTGGGTCTTATGTCGGGTTCCCCTTTTGTGAGTATTACCCCTTTGACTATGGCTTCGGCAAACATCTTTGGATAGAAACCTGCAAGACGGAGACAGGCAATCGGTGTTCTCGAAAAGTGCATTGGCCTGCTATTTGCGAGTGAACATGACTTCGATCACATATGCGTTGGTCCAAGGCATGGAACATTTCCCGTGAGGAGGTCTGCACTCTATAGTCTTCTTTTGCATGGCATCATCAGTTTCAGGATGACGCAGGCCGAACATGCACTGATCCACCTGTGCGTGTTTGGATATGCATAAATCTCCAACCACCAAGTCTATTTGTCGACATTGGTTATTCCCCTTTTGGATAATTTTATGCACATCTTTCAACCAGTTGAAATCCTTGCCAGAATCCAGCGCACATATGATGGGTCTTGCTCGAACACCTGACTGAAACTTGCCCCTTGAAGCTTGCGTCCCCATGTGATCACCTTTTGCCCCCATGCGATCAGGGCTGTGTGGGTCAAGGACACCTGGTTGCCGTGATCGTTGGAACGGCTGGTTGGCATGCTCTTGGGCGTGTCGGGAGACTTGCAACTTGAGGCACTTGAGGTCTCTGAGGACTCGGCCGTGGATTGATCGAAGTCAAGGCCCTTGGTGGGGAAGTAGCGTGGACCGGTGCAGCTTGGCTGGTCCTGTTGCTTACTTCTTCGGGCCCGTTGAGCTCCTCCATCTCGAAGATTTCCCATGCGTCTGACTTCTGTCCAGCCGAGTTCGTCGGACTGGTTGCTCCTCGAAGGAACTGCTGGCTGATGAGGTTTCCCAACTCGGCAATATTGTTCTTCTGATTCTTGACTTCTTGGATCAGCTGGTTGATTGGGTGCATCTCGGCTTCCCCAACTTCCTCCTCGGGGTGAATTGCCCCTGTCATGGAAAACAGCGTCGTCAGCAGGATTCGGAGGCTCTGCATGATCTCCTCTGCTAGGACTCGGAGACCCTCGAGCACTTCCTGTCGGAAATAAGTATCGTTGGCACAACGTTCAGATTCGAGGCCCGGCGGTGGTCCTATGGTCACACTTGAGATTGCAAAGGCGGCTTCATTGGCTGTGGTGTTTGAATGGCACAAATCTGCCATGTCAATGACAGACAAACCGTTGCAATTCTCCTTGAGAGACAGTGATTTATTCAACGTCTTCAGATAACATGTGCTATTCGATAAATCTATGATGCACGAGAGGAATCTGCAGTTGCTTGAAGCTATTCTATTTGATTGTTTCGAAACCGGAATCCTACCCTACTTGGCTGCTCCTTGGCTAACCCTCGGATGCTTTCAGGCAATTTTCTCAGCACGGCAGGATCGAACGTTATGTTCTCCTATCACACTACGGCTCGCGCCAGTGTTGAGGATCGCAAGACCCTGGGTGTTGGAAACTCCTAGGGCAGCCTGGCTAGCGAGGCATTCGGCTGATGTCTCGGGCTTCAATCCAGACGTCTCCATCGTCGGTCTCAGCGGTTGGATCCTGTGGCATGGCTGTGTTTCTTGGGAGTCTCGAGTGCTTGGGGAAACAGGCTTATGGTCCTTAGGGCTTAGCTTCAACATCTTGTCCTTATCCCCATTACCCCTTTTATGTGGATTATGCCAGTGCTTGGACAGATGATTGGACCGACCCGGACAGCTTGTTGTCGGACGGATGCAGACAGCAACGGATGCTTTCGAGTTCCTACGGATTCCTGTGCATGAAAACACACTTCAGATTGGTTGACTACCCCGGCCTCGTCCATCTCCTCAATGATCACCTGCGGTAGTTCTTCGTGGGCGCCCCCAACATCATTGACTACATTGGTTTGCTCTCGAGGTTGTTCACGGTCACGTCTCTGCGGGCATTCTGCTTTCCAGTGATCCAAAGCTCCACATACTTTACAATGGGTTCTACTGATTCTTGCAAGCAACTTATCTTTGCCCCCTTTGGGGCCACCTTCGCGAAAGCCACGGGCTCCATAGCCCTTCCCTCGAGATTTCGGCGGCCAAAATCCTCGATGTCGGCGCCGCTCACTGATTCTTTGTCTGGCTTCCTGGTATGACACCAGGGCGTTTTGCAGGTCTGGCACGTTCTGCATCAGATCTTCTAGATCTTTCTCGAATTGTTGCGCTAACATGGCATCTTCATCGCCTTGTTGAACCATCAGATCCAAGGCTTCGGCAGTTAAGGCATCCTCCTCTTCCACCGTTGACACAAACGTGATGTTGACCGGCTGGTCTTCTTATCCTCCTTGATGATCATCAGACTCCGCGAAATTCGTGGGGTACACCTTCCTTTTCACCTCGACAGTTCCAAGAAGCACTCGGGTAGACAAGGTTCTCATGGCCTGTTCAATCTTGGACTGGTCCATTTGTCCACCAGTCATTGCTAAAACTTTCTTTTTGTCCTCGTTCGAGAGGCTGGACTGCCTCAAAAGGACAAAGGCATGCATGTCTTTCACATTCACCGACTCACCAAGGTCATGGAAAGCTGCTTGAAGCCGGAGCATGTAGCTATGGGTGGCTTCATCCCTCTTTTGAGCTACTTTGTACAGTGCCTTTTCGAAAGTCTGCATGTCTGAGGTTTCTTCCCAGGCGGACAGGGCTCTGAGTAGATGCTCAACTCCATTCTCCTTGTCAGTCAGTTTCTTGACTCCATGCGGTTCCCTTTCACATGATGGCTAAACGAGGCGTCTCGATCTGGAAAAAAGCCATGCAGGAACCTGGCTTTCTGAGTGTATTCACGGATGTCATCCGTGGGTGGGTCAAAGCTATAGGGAGTTGGCTCCAAAGGCCGGATCGGTCATTGGACCCTGACCCCGAAGACATCTTCACTCACCTGCTTCGCACGCTATGCGGTAGCGTGAGCACTAAGGCTCCGCTACCAGTGTGACTGGTGTGACCAGTCCCACTCAAGAACCCCAACCTGTCTCGTCCTCAAGACTTCCAAAGGCTGATGCCAAGAAATGTTGTATCCCAAAATCACCAAAGATTGGCCTCAATCAGTCAAACTCTCCTCCCAAATGGCACCACCGGGTGACTCTACCTTTTCCTGCAAACCGTGGCCCTTGAGCCAGTAGGTAACGATCGCGGAAGCTTAGCCGCTGCATCGGAAGCCCCTGAAATCGAAGGGACAATCGAATGGGCATGACGCAGGTTATGGACATGCACGGACAAACCGAAGGCATGCTGGCAAAATCCACATACATATATATATATATATACATAGAGAGAGAGAGAGAGAATTGCCTCTTGTTTGAAGGTTTCAAGTATAGGATATATAATGATATATATATACATATACTGATATACTATTACCCCTAAAAGATATGTATATACATATACGTATAGTTATATATACATTCATATATATTAATATATATATATATTATATAACCATAATATATGTATACATATTTATCTGGTATTATGTGGTTATATAGAGTTCAGGTATGGGTCGGACTTGAAGACATATGAGCCAGAGCCAATCAAGTGGATCAGGCAAACATCTTGTCATCCAGGAAGCAACATTGTCTGTTCGACTTTTTTTGAAAGCAGGAAATGATCCCCCAAATTCGCGAAAATTGTGCCTTAAGTTGTGTAGGATTTCTCTGAAATACCATCAGTCCAGGCAACTTTTTGTCACTAAGATCCCCATGACTGTTCTCTGCACTCGTGCACTCGTGCACTCCGTAGTGTTACCGGATGGAACTCATGGAACATCATTGGTCTGGCGGCTTTAACACCTGGATTTTTCCCGATTCCTGGTGAAATACCCATTAAAACGGCCGCGTTTCCAAAAACATGTCTGCAAAGCCAACTCTTTCTTGCTGAAATCCTGATGTGTGTTTGCTTAAACATCTTCAAGTGTGTAAAGACCCATTACATTCGATGTTGCCATAGAAACAGTCATGAAAAACATAATTTCCAAGAATCTGGAGAGACAAATGACGATGTTGAAAAGTTCCCCCTGTAGCGCAAGGATTTCCATTGAAATTCAACAGCCCAGCCACTTCTCCTCTGTCGGCGTTTCCTCCTCTGCCTCCGGCTCTCGTGCAAAAGCCTTGCCGCCGCGGGCGTAGATGGCGTAGAGCACACCAAACGCCACCTGTTTTTTTTGCATCTAAAAAACATTCAGGCAACGAGTACGGCGATGTGGATTGCTACGGCGAGCACTTGATTCACATGATGCAAAATTCGCTCGATGGGGGTCTAGATAGTGGGGGGTCAATGAAGATTTCATGGTGATATTTTACGACATATACAATTATAATCAATTAATATATTGCATGAATTTATTTTATGTGCATAGCTACGTTGCATTGCATTGCATCACATCATACATGTGATGATATATGATCAACTTGACATAATAGGGGCGTGTGTGTGTGTCCAAAATGAAGGGAATATACCTCATCAAAGTATATCAAAGTGACCATTTCAATGGAACATATGACAATTATAACATGAATGGGGTAGCCTATTCTCGACTCACCAGTCAAAGATGTGTGGGATGGGAGATGATACGGGAATATCCCCACAAAATATGGCCAACAATATGGTACATTATGTACATTACAGTACCTCCATGGATTGGATCCGGAAATTCCCATTGAGATTTGGCTTACCCTATTTTCAGACACAACCAATTTGTCCAGTTTTGTCCAGTTTGTCCATATCCATTGATGGTGGATTGAGGATCATGGTGGATGGGGAGGCAACCCACCATATTTTCAACACAAAACCTAGCAGAGACATGCAGAGACAACATGTTCAGGATGCGTTGCTTTTTTTGGGGGGGCTAACCAAGAAATGGATAGAAATGGATAGAAATGGTGGAATGTCGATAAGCACCAAGAGTGATGGGTTTTGGCCAACAACAACGGGTGATGTGAGCAAACTTTGGGATTTGACTTCTTGAACCAATCCAATCTTGTACAGATTGGGTGTCGGGTATGACATGGCATCTGTTGAAGGTGGGAGCGCAAAACAATGGGAATGAAACCCAAACCTAAAAACATGGAGGATTGCCTACATCTGCGGGCAACCAACCCAAAACTGGATTTATGCATATTGTACTTGCAGAAACTGGGTGACTCTGCCAGAGGTCCATCAACTGGCATTGTGGCAACGACTTCTACGTCAGCAGGATATCGTTCACCAAATTCATGGCGGGTGCCCAAAAAACACCGTTCGGAACATCCAAAAAAATGCTTGCATGAATTGGTTCATGTGTCTGACAGCAAAATTACAAAACAATATCTGATTGGTTTCAACCCCTCTGAAAAATATTAGTCAGTTGGGATTATTGGAAAATATAAAATGTTCCAAACCACCAACCAGATATAATGATATAGGTCTAACACAAAATGTTTAATACTTCAGCCCATTTCAGCCCAGTCCTTTTCAACGGGTCTTGTTTGTATATGCATATATAATCATATATATAATCATATACATAATCATATATATATAATCATATACATATATTATACGTGAGTATTGTTGTAATCTTTTCTATTCCTGACATTTCCTGACATTTCCTGACCATGTTATCATCATGGTAGATTTGTTGAATGCAAACACACAATGGATTGAACTGCCGCGGATAGAAATATGATACCGGCATCAAAAAATGTGTGTGTGCGTATCTATACATATACAATATATGTGTTATATCATATATATATACTATACATACACAATGTATAATTATAGCCAGTTGACAACAAACTGACCAAACTATAGTGACATCCACAAATCAAACCATGAGCGAGTCTGGTGAAAATCCTGGTTCCCTGATTTTTTTTGTTTTTTCTATCTACTAAATCTATTCAGCATCTAGTTTGGTTGAAATTGGTTTAATATCAACGTTCCGCAGCTCATCTCCGATTCATCATCCGCGCCACGGTAATGAATCCCAGATAGAACCAGAACATGTTGAACTGGTGGTAGGTCAAGTCCTTCGAGCTTGGCGAAACGTGGCGACACGTGGGTGTGGAATTTTGGGGTCCCAAATTGAAGCCCAAAAAGCACTTTTTTTGGCTTGTCATATTGACAATGTCAGGTGAAATATTTCTCGGAAATTTCTGGCACCCACTGGCACCCCCCAAGATATTCCAGGGTTAAAAGGGGGGGATGGACTTGATCCTATCCAACCTTTGGAGGAATGAGAGCTGAACTGCGGTTTGAGGATATTCCTACTGCATTCATAGCCCTTGAAAACCTGTGGGAATATATAGACAATTCCCATTGATGATGATTGATGATGACAATATATAGCCATTGATGATGATTGATGATGATTGTAGATACTGGACTTACTCTATCTACAATCTTCCTCAAGCATCTACCATCGTCTTACCACTTATGCAAAGTGACATGAGTGGTGGTACAGTGCGGGCCCCCCAGTCGTAAGATATACCCTGATATCTCCACCCAAAATGGGAAGTTGATGGAAGATGGCTATCGTTCGCTTATACCGCTATAGATATAGTTACCCTGGTTATCCTATCTAAATGTCAGAGCTATTGGTAGATATCCGCCATGTTTACATCCATAAATCTGGTTTAACCATGTTTAGCCTGGTTATTAACCAGATGCCAAGAGTCCGACTGGAAGTGAGTGTCAGGTCCGTTCCAGCCAAAGAGCAAGCCGACCTCAGACGTGTTTTCAGCTCATGGGTGTAGAGCCAGAAAAAGTGGGGATTTGAACTAGCAACATGGCTCAAGTCACGTCACGTGATGTTCCGAAATGAACCAATGCTCCAGAAGTACTGGAAGAATGAGCCATTCTCATCATGTTTTCTGACCCTTATTGTACACAGCAATCACCACATGTTTCATTTGTGAAGATGAATAAGATCCCATTCGCAATACGGCATGCGATTAAGTGTGATATGTTCTACACATAGAAATAGTGCAGCTATATCAATGTCAACATATTTACAAACATCTTATCGATATATATATATATAATATAATATATATTATATATATTATATATCCATATCTACATATAATAATATATAATGATAAGTTGTATATATATATACACATAATTGTACATATATAATCTATGAGGTACCCTCTGGTAATTTAACATGACTTGCTGGAAACTCCACCATTTAGTTCGATGATGTTCCCAGCTATAAACATCTCAAAGCTTCCATTGCGTTCCATGATTCTTGCAAAACACCAATTTATAGTGGAATTTCCCACGGTTTTCCCATGATTTTCCCTTAGTTTTCCCATGATTTTCCCATCGTTTTCCTATGAATTTCACGGCCCGTTGAGATTTCTTCCGTCAAAAATCCCAAAACCAGGGCACGATCCAAAAGGCCGCAGCAGCCACGATGAAGAAGGCGCCCAAAGTGGCGATGGACTCACCGCATTTGCAGCCGCACTCCTGGTGAAATCCCCTGGGAAATGGAGGAATTTCGGCTGGGAGAATCACCAGAAAAATATCAACGGAAAATCATAGGACAACTATGGGAAAATCCGATGGAATATCTATTAGAAATGGAGGTTTCGTTGGGAGAATCAACGAACCGTTCAATGGATAACGCAAAATTCAGTGCCAGGATCAAGTGGCGATTTTAGGTGGATTAATCAATCTAACTTGGAGACTTGGAACTTATTTAATCCAACTTTGTTGGTGATTAATGTAACCATTGGGAACCTATAAATCTATAAATATCAAATAAGCATAGGGTTTTTTCGTTTGGTGAATCTATAAAATATCAACCATGGATGCATCATTAATAATCCTTTAAGCATGGATGGATATGAACTTTCATGTTCATAATGGGATTACGCACTACTGCAACGCTGGATCTCCAGATTACTCTAAGGATTTCCAAGTTAGTTGAACCCATGATTATAGAATATTATAGATCCCTCAAGACATATATATATATTATATATATATACATAAGAAAACCCAGAGCTTGGAAGATAATTAATCTCTGGTAATCTACCATAGCATTGAGGACAATGCCCCGTCAGTTCGTTCATTTTCCCAGCTATCAACCTCCATCTGGTGAATGTCCCAGCTCTGTTTGATGACCTGTGGCTTATCGAGCCATTTACCAACAATATTTGTAGCTTGAGTGATATGAGAGATTTTTTTAGCACATCACAACAGAACCACTATCATGACAGTTTTCTTTTCGATTTCCATGGAATTTCCCAGTCCATCGTTACCGGGTAAATCATCATGGTCGTCCGTTAATAGCCTCGAACGTCATCAAAGGTGGCGATGAAATATCTACGATCTTCGATATGAAATATCTACGATGTTCATGTCGTCTTAATGGGAAAATCGTCACATGAAGATTGAAACCATTATGAAAAGATGATACAAAGGTGGTATATGAAAGGATGATAGTTACTAGTTATATTATACCATCATGGTGGAATTCATTGCCATGTTTGATGAAAAAGCATACGGTATTAATGAAACCCTTACGGCTTTGGCCAGGTCACAACAAAAACGGGGCCCAAGAATAAACAAAAAACACCCGAACGCTCGGAGAGTGAATGATTTATGGAGACACAATGATTCCTTGTGGAAAGTTAGCTAGTGTGTATAGTGATTGGTTTAATCCTATGGTATTGATATTAGTGCAGACTCAGTCCCTCCTACGATTGGGGATGCCACCAATGAACATCAGTGTGTTGGGGAGGGTGCTGGGGAGGGCCGTTGTTCATCTAGAATAGATTGAATAGTGCAGGATGCCTTGCCAAAATCTGCTTGCTACTATAGAGGGTGACCATTGCTAAAAGCTGCTGACCAAAAAGTAAGAAAAGTTGTAAGAAATGTCACAAACACCGGTGAAAGGGACGTAAGCAACAGTTTCAACATCAATTGCGCGCAGAACCTACTAAACATTATTAAACTATTGACTATTGATGAATATATGTCTTAATATGTCCTATACAAGACACATTTGCATACATTTGCCACAATATGGATCTCAATAGATACTGAGGGTTCCCAGCCGGGGAACCGCGTTTTTGTTGTCCAACCTTCCAGGGATCATTGTGAAAAATGTCCTTGTCATTGCAATATCAGATTACCAAGTGATATCATATTCATAATATGAACATTGATAAATATTGGGAAAAAATTGATAATATGATAGTGATATCATATTGAAATATATTGAACATATGTGTTTGCAATATTTATATTACCAAGTGATAAATATTCAATCAATATTGATAAGCATAGCGCAAAATTCTCGAATTCAGCGCTCCTCGCCATTGCAATCCTTTGAGCAGCAGCAATCACCACAAGTCACAGGCATCGCGCGGAGATCGGCGAAGATCGGCGACGGCGTATCCTGGATTCTGCCTGAGCCTTTTGAAATGCTGAGATCGACGTCTGTCTCACCGTTGATCCCCTGGAAAAAAAGGTGACAAATAGCCTCTGGTAATTAATGGTATATTAATGGTATATTAATGGTGTATTAATGGTATATTAATGTTATATTGATGGATTTTACCCTCTGGTTATTTAACATAGCCATGGTATAGATGGCCCCAATCGAAATAGATGATTTTCCCAGCGAACTAAACCTTCATTTGTCAAAAAGGGATTTTCGATGGCTATGTTAAATAACCAGATGGTAAGTTTAACCGGGAATTATCAACATACTGTGGATGGTTGCGAAATCGAGAACCAGTTGATAGGTGGTGAATCCCATTATTTCTAGGGTTTCAACCACCCTTTTGGTGGTGCAGGATTTCGCAACCATCCACCGTATGATTCCCGCATTCACCTTGGAACTCAGAGCGACTCAATCCTCCCACCCTTCAAAAATGATCCACCAAATTGGCCGAGGAACAGTTCCTCCTAAGGAGTCTTGCATCAAAAGAGTGAGCTTGTGATTCCTGGCGCTGCGATAACGAAGGTGAGAGGTGAGAGCCTCAGTCGTTTTATCGAGGTTGATACTTGAAGTTGAACAAGTTGAACAAGCTTGAGCTGGATCTGTGATATTTTTCAGAAAACAACAAGAGATGTCTCGTGGTCCAGGTCAAAAAAAAACACGACGACAGAACCACAGGGCCCAGGGCTCTGGCCCTGGAAGATGCGACTCGCGCCTGTAAGGAACCACGCCCTTGCCGCCTTTGGTTAAGGCCTGGCGGAAAACACCATGGAATGCACTGGCTTTCCTATCCTGTTCATCATGGCGATCCAATCAAACAACAGTGAACTCACAATCGACTTCAGGAGAGGGGTATAATATGAACATATATGAACTATATTTTGATGTCAAAATATACAGCAAGATAAATCAACTAATCAATTGGTGATTCCAACCCAACCTAAGAATAGGTGAGTCAGCCGGGATTAAATAGGGATGAGAGAGTAAACTGAATTCCAAATTCTTCCAAAGAACCAGGATATGCCAATATGCCAATATGTTGCTTCTATCGTCTTCTAGCATATCCCTATCTTACACCATTTTTCTTGTCATCCCGATGCAACCTGCCCACGCTTCATCCAGCAAATCCAGGAATCGATGTGCAAAGACCCTCCATTTATAGACAATGTTCCTGGGAAAATCCATGAAATTCCATATTATTAATTATATATATATGCGTATACATGTATATATATATATAATATATATATATATATGTATGTATATAATTGTATATATATATATGTATATAATTATATATATATATACATATGTACATGTATTTAGTTTATCCCCCGTATTGGCGGTTGTATCTGATTATCTCAATTGTTTCATGGTTCAATCCAAATGTGAAAATGTTTGAATCTGTCAGATGATTAAAGAAACAAAACATTGTAAATTCCACATGTTTCGTGGTTAGGTCAAGTTACCCTTCAGTAAATGAACAGTTCGACCCTGGCAGTCATCGGGGTTGGAAGATTAGTTCGTTTCCACTGAAAGTGGGTGATTTTCAGGGTCGAACTGTGAACATGTACCAAGTTTCAGTCCAAATGTGTGAATATGTCAGATGATATTGGGTTAATTGGGTTAGTGGTTGATATTGGTTGATTGCAACCAGTATGATAGATGTAGTGAACCAATTTAACCAGTGAATCTAGTTAAATCCCAGTTTCTCATTGTAAATTCCACATGTTTCATGGTTAGGTCAATTAAATCAAGTGAAATCCCAACCGTGGTGTTTCATCCACCTCAATGACGTCGCCCAGCGCAGTCAGCGACCTTGAAACACCATGGTTTTTCAATGGTTGAGTAGGGTTGATTAGGTATATAGTGTATATACATTATATATATATATATATTATATCCTCTGGTAGTTTGTTGCAGTTTGCTATTGAACATGGCCATTTAAAATAGTTCGTTGAATTACCCATTAAAAATGGTGATTTTCCAGTTCGCTATGTTTGTTTACCAGAGGATACAGATCCGGACCCCCAAAATCGAGAGGTCTCTAGTGGGAAAAACCCTGCCAAAGGGTCCGCGTTGGGACGGGGTCACATCAAAAGATTACCCTCTGGTTGTTTAAGCTAACGCCGCCCGTAGAGACGCGGGTTTTTTTAACGTTTTTTTACTGCGTTCATACTTTTTGTGGGTTGTCTGGGTGGGGGGGGTGGGGGGATGTTAACGTTCCTTGGAAGCGTTACGTGACATACGCTGGGGGGGTTGGGGGGGTGAAACGTTCTTGGGGGATGTTTCCTTGGAACGTTACGTGACATACGCTGGGGTTGGGGTGGGGGGGTGGGGTGATGTTAACGTTCCTTGGAAGCGTTACGTGACATACGCTGGGGTTGGGGTGGGGGGGGTGGGGTGATGTTAACGTTCCTTGGAAGCGTTACGTGACATACGCTGGGGTTGGGGTGGGGGTGGTGGGCGTCTAGGGCGGCGGTAATTAATGTCATTTTTTTAAACATGCATAGGGCTGCACAAAGACATGAAATAGTTCTAACTCACAAACACACACACACATATATATATAGACATATATCTGTGTGTGTGTCATGATGCACACCCAAGCACATAAAAGGATGAAGTAAGAACATTCATGAAATGGCATCCAGAAGTTTTAATGCAGATTCACAGACATGTTCTTGGTTTCCCCTCGTTTCTTTCCATACGCTGGATAGGCAACGGCGATCTTTGAAAGATTACCTGCCTAAAACTTTAGCAACAAAGTCAAAGGCAGGCCATGTCAATCAAAGCCTTTGGCAATGGACCTACAGTTGGCAGTACAGATACAACAATGGCAAAGACCTTTGGACAGCTGTGCCACATGTCCTGAAGCACATCAGAAATGCCTGAGTGCAAAACAGCCCGCGTCTTTGCGGGCGGCGTTACCTTGTTTAACATAGCCGCTATAGCCATGGAAAATGGCCCATTTATAGATGATTTTCCCATTAAAACTTCCATTGACGAGGGATTTTCCATGGCTATGTTAAATAACCAGATGGTAGTAATAGTATTTATGGTTAATAAACCAACGTATAACTGAAGAAAACACCTCATTTTTGGAAGGCAAGAACCAGGCTTTCCTGCGGATGCTCCCCACCAACCTGATGAAAAATGAGATTCTGGTGTCCTTGAACCCGCGGTGATTTACATACGGCGATTTTCCATAGCTATGTTAGTTTACCAAAGGGTACACTACAAAATGTTCTTCACGGGGATACATGCGTAGCACCGCACTTGCGGCAAGCTGCAGGTGACACAAATTCTGGCAGGGTTCCCAACCCTGGAAAAGCCCTGACCCTTTCTGCGCTGCTCATATCATAGCTATTGTTAGTTGAATCTTGAGTAACATTAGCATTTCCCCTTTCATTCGTAAATACACCAACCTTCCTCCATGTTCATTCTGCAATGATAGTTTCCCCAATCACCATTTGCGATGTATTCCTCACCGGAAAATGACATTCTTCTTTGCCAAATCGCCCAGTGGTAGGGCATTCAATCCCACATTTTGGAGAGATTGCTAATGTTTGTTTAATCCTCCTCTTTGATTAACCCCTTTTGTCAGTGTTTGGGAAAATGGGAAAATCCTTGGGTAGCACACATATATATATATACATATATATACATATATATATATATATACGTCAAACAATTGCAGGGTTTGGGTGCGTGATCATGGGTGAATATATATATATATATATAATTACATATTATATGTTCCAACATAGTCACTTTTCACTCACTGGTTGATTGGTTGTTTGTTTGGGCATTTTAGAATCCAAAGAATTTGGGAAATGTATTTCACTCTTGAGTCTCTCCAGGAGTGAACACAGCCAGCCCAGACCAAAATTGAACCATTGGCTCCTGATCATTGATCTGATGGTAAAGGCAATTTCTGGCGAGGCCATAGATATTACACATTGGCTGCACTTTAACGATGGCCAATTGTAGCTACTGGGCAAAACAAAAGCAGCTGGTTAGTGTTAATATTCCTACATATGTATACTACTATGTACATATGATTATATATGTTCATTGAGTATCCATGTAATTATATAACAAAAGCTCACTGTAACCTAGGCATCCAAGATTTTCCCAATAGAAAAGCACCGGCTCCCTGCAGTTTGATAAAAACATATCCAGGCGGCTTGTTAATTGCGATGGCTTCTGTCTGCTGATGGTCAGTGACCTGACTGCTGCGGGGACATCGCTGTCTGGTTTTCTGCAACATTTCCCAGGAAAAAAAACTGCCATCTTACCCTCTGGTAAACTAACATAGCGAACTGGAAAATCACCATTTTTAATGGGAAAATCAACTATTTCTATGGCCATTTTCAATAGCTATGTTAAATTACCAGAGGGTATAGGGACATCTGTATAAATTTACTGGAGGGTATAACAATACCGTTATCCTCTTGGTTGCCACTTACCCTATGGTTTGGAACCCATGAGATTCAACATTTGCCAGAGGGTTTGCCCGGGGGCTCGGGCATCAGGTGTGGAAAAAAATAACTGAATTATACTGAATTCCATCATTCCATCTCTGGAAGCAGCAAGAATTGAGGACGGGTCAAATTTTTTGAACCCCGGAAAAATGGATTCTTTAAGGGGAAGTCTCCTATGTTTGGTGCTGAAATCCCCTATGTTTGGTGCAAATTGTGTGGGTTTGTTGGTACTTCAATGACTTGACCCAAGGTCTTAGGAGGCCTTCATACCAAATTGGCAGTCATCACAGTTTAGCCATATGTGGGTTAGGAATATCTGGGGTTTCGGGGTCATTTTGCTCTGGATTCCTCTCCAGTTGAAAACTTCCTGGCTTGGGGGTTTGTTACCATTGGAGCACATTGCCTACGACTCCTAAGTGCTTAACTGGGAAACGCTGGGGACGCAATGATTTTAGGTCATGTTAGTGATATAGGGCAACATTGCAATTTGGATTCTTGCTTAGATCAATACCCCCGTCTGGCAATCAAACATAGCAGTACCCATATCTCTAGTGAAGTGTTTATATATAATATATATATATTATATATATATTATGTGGATATATTATAAAAATATATCATATATTGTACATTGTTGAACTAGTTACCCTCTGTGAATCAAGCATGGCTAGCTGCAACATCCACTATTATAAATGATTGTTCCATATTTTACCAGCTATACACCTCCATCAAATGGGATTTCTCATAGCCACGTTTGAGGAAACCGGAGGGTAACCAGGCGCATATCATTTCTTCAGGAAGCCGCCTAGGGGCCTACAAATTATTGCATGCGTAACGTTGAAAATCGCATACCCTCTGGGAATCGAACATAGCTATGGAACATTGCCTATTTATAGTTGACTTATCTATTAAACATGGTAATTTTGCATAGCTATGTTAGTTTACCAGAGGGTATATATTTCGTTGAGCCATTCGCAGACTCAAATGTAAGTGTTAAACAACATGTGTCAACAATGTTTGAACAAGTTCGAACCATAATTTCAAACCGTATCATACCATATCATGCAAGGTGGTACCTCACCAAGTAATAAGTTGATTTATAAACTCCCTTACCTACAGATATATCCACTTAAAACCAAAGTAAAAGCAAGGAGTTGTGTAAACCACCTTAGCTCTTTAGCCTGGTTAATAAATGTTGATAAGTCCCCCAAGTAGAGGACATCCCATCTATACATATCCATGGCTTATATCCCCAGCACCATACCATCACGACGTGGGATGATCCTCCACACCATCTCTGCCCCTGCCTCTGATCGTTTGAGGCGTTCCGAACCTGCTAAGTCGCCTGAGTTTGGGCTTCCAGCGAGACGAGAAGAATGGGATGGGGAAATCCGTGGCAATCCCTTATGAATGAACTGGTTGCTGGTATACGTATGGATATTCATGGGATTTTAATGGGATTTCAATGGTTAATATATGGTTAATGATGGTTAATATATGGTTAATGATGGTTAATATCTTATCTGGTTGCTGGTTGAGCCCTACCCTCTGAAAAATGATGGAGTGAAAGTCAGTTGGGATGATTTTTCCATTCCCAACTGAATGGAAAAATAAAAAACGGTCCAAACCACCAACCAGATGACGGTTTGAATGGGAAAACTCATGGTGATGATGAATTGTCAGGAATTTAGCATGAAAAAAAATCATGGAATTCGTGATGATTATAATATATTATAATTATGATTAATGGATAAATGATGATAAATGGGTATAATTACCAAATTATTGAGATATAGTGGGGATACCCTCTGGTAATCAAACCTGGCAAGCTGGCAGATCCTCTAGAAATGAAGGTTTTAATTCGAAAATCATCTATCAGATGGTGGTTTAAATTAGAAATCCCCTATAAATGAAAGTTATAGCTGGGAGAATCATCTATAAATGGTGGATTTTCTAGGTTGCCACGTTCTATGACTGGAGGGTTCCACCAAAATTAGCCAAGAATCAGGGTTTCACCATGCACCAACCATCAAGGTAGGAATCTCTTGGATGCCATTGCTTGGCTGGTGAAATATCCCTATTCTTTGCTGAACTTCAGCAGCTTCAGCACCTCTTGCATCGAAAATTGGAATCAAAATCCAAAGCTTCAAGAAAACAACTCGGGCTTCCGGATGGGTTCCTGCACTTAGGGCCCTTTACCACCTATAAATGGCTACAAATGGGGTGATCATTCCATAAATGGGGTAACTTACTGACCCCACATAACCCAAGCCAAGCTTTGCGTCCAAGTCGCACATCAGCATCTTGCCCTTCAGCACCTCCTTGGTCTCCCTTGGATCGCGGACGATCCCGGAGTTTTGTAACGGTTAGAGCCACACAACTTACCTACCATATAGCATGTTTTTACAGCTTGTAGAGCTATCATGTGCTGGGAAACTCTTGGTAGCTCCGAGTTGCTCCCCTTTTAAAAGGGAAAATGGATACCCATAGCTCCTTAGCTCCCTCCTAACCACCAAATAGAGAGTCTATTGTAGAGTAAAAAGAGAGCCTTCAAACAGTTGGCTATATTCTGAAGATAGCCTCAGGTAATTCACAGCTATGGAAATCATCGTTTTGTAATAGGTATATAAATCATCTATAAATGGAAAATTGTCTATAGCTACGTATGTTAAATTACCGGAGGGTAACCCACACATTTTTGATGTCACAAGCGAATCCGGTCATTTGTCACCTGAATGCTGGGATTTAAAACATCATAGTGGCTATCGATGCGTGGTGAATTGGTCGTCCAAGCATTGGGAATCCGATTTGATTGGTGGAAAGGGACACGGTATCTGCCGCTATCTTCGGCATGGTGCTGTCAATTGGATGCAATCTAATTAGAATCTAATTCCCTGTGACCATCCTCCGAGCCATGACATAACTTCAGCTTCAACGGGCCACATGTTTCTGAGAGCGACTTACGGACATCAATAGTGGATGCCAGGTGACTTGTTCACGCTGATGATTTTGATGATAAGAATCAGGTGACTTCTGGAACTCTCCGAGTTCATGGCCTCAGCGAAGAAAGATATCACCGTCGTTTTGTGGCCTTTCCGTTCATGGCCCTGAAAAGTGGACTACCCTCTGGTAAACGTTTACATAACTATGGAAAGTCACCATTTTTAATGGGTAAATCAACGAACTTTCTACGGCCACGTTCAATAGCTTTTTGTATGTTTACCAGGCTGGGTATATGAGGCTTTCCTGAAGGGAGTCCCCATTTCATCATCCTGAAGGAATATTTTAACGGATGTTCCTTTTTTGAAGCCAACCATTGTGGGGATCCCTCATGAAACCCCCCCTGTACATATCATGTCATATGATATACCTCTGGACCTCTGGGATGTGAATACGGCATTTAGTATTGTAACATTTAAATCATTTGAGCTAATCTAGATATCACAATCGAATCATGATCCTACCCCTTGAAAATAGACATGATGACAATGTCCAGCCAGCCATGATTCCAGAAGGCCTCATTCCACTTTAAAATCAATCAGTGTTTCTCATTGTTCTGGTTGAAGACACAAAATTTACAGGAAACCCTCATTTCTACAATTGAAAATTGGAAGTTTCAGCAAAATCATTTATTTTTCCCTCAAAACTCTAGGAATGTCCATAAAATCAGTTATTTTTCCCTTAAAAGTTTGGGAATGTGAATAAATGTCCATCCCACTTCAACAACCGCCGATGGAAATTCCCGCTCAGCTCACCGTTGCCGCAACAGTGCGTTGTTCGTTGCCACCTTGCAGCTGGCGTTTTTCACGGTTTCGGTGAAGCGATTCGAGTTTTTTTTTAATGGGACCATGGGATGCAATCTGTTGATATATTGTACCCCATTAATAGTAGATAATCATTAAATTTATATTTATGGGATATACCCATAGGATCCATGTATGGTATATATGCTAACATTTGGGGTATATTGATGGTAAAATATGGTAAATGTTACCATATATGGATCCTATGGGATATAATGATTATCCATGGGGTTATCAATCTATTGATAATCATTCATAATAGATAATAATTATAGATATTTAATCGATCCATTTTAATAATTTAGATAATCACCATCTATAGATTGTTAATAGAATTTTGAACATTTAGTTCGATGTTTTCCCGGAATGAATTTTGGTGGTGGCTTTCCACAGCAAACTGAGAGCTGAAATGGGAGGGTAGGACTGAAAATGGGGCATGTCTCCAAATGCTATTTGTTGATAGGCAACATGATGATAAACCAGTGGCTTTGGGGCATCATATTTTCAGACAAACCCATACCCAAAGCATGATGCATTGGTTTTAGGAGAAAAACACATACAGGGAAGCATGGTTTTTGCACATCAAATATGAGGGTGTGCTTTGGATTTTTCCACCAATTTCAGGACCTGGGGAACACCCCGAAACCAGCACCGAGCTTTTGGGTAATGTCGCTGGATCTACCGTGTGTACCATACCATGGATCATCAAGGTAATGGTTGAGAGCAGAAATGGAGAATTATCCGCTGATAGAGTGTAAATTGAAATTGTTGATATAGTAGAATTTGCTCTATCATGAACAATGATGGAGAACGAGATACAACATTTAGCAAATTTTGGATCATTGGCAGCCAGAATTTCCGGCTGGAGACCATGCAGATTACAGTGTGGGTGTAAGCAAAACTAAGCAAGCATAATGCTGATCATCAACAACAACAACAAAAAAACACAACAACCACCACAACCACCACCACCACAACAACAACAAAAACCACAAGAACCACCACAACCACAACAACCCACAACAACAGCAACAACAACAACAACAGCAACAACAACAACAACAACCACAACAACATTAACAACCACAATAACATTAACAACCACAATAACATTAACAACCCAACAACAACCACAACAACAACCACAACAACATTAACAACCACAACAACAACCACAACAACAACAACAACAACAACTGCAACAACAACCACAACAACAACCACAACAACAACCACAACCACAACCACAACAGCGACAACGACGACGACAACAACCACAACAACAACAACAGCAACAACAACAGCAACAGCAACAGCAACGACAAGAAGAAGAACACAAGGATATGACTCACAACAAACATGTTTTGGATTTTGGACAGCTGATATGAGCTTGTGATAACATAAATGTTGACACATGTATGTCCTTTCCGAAAAGTATTGCCCTTTTTCTGGGATCCAAAACGTATCAAAACATCACTGTGCAGTGGTTGCTACCAACTTCCTTGTTGTGCAATAGGTAGATATGCTTCACGTCCGATGTTGTCAGGAAGCTCATCATCTAATCAAAGGATTCTTGTGATCGATCTTTCTCAAGTTGAATTTTAATGTGGCAAACCAAAGAAGAAACAATCCTCCGTTTTGCCAGAAATCAGGGGTACAGATTTGTTTATATACTATTGCATTTACCACACGTAATCAGTTTAAGACATAAAGGCTCCTCCTCCTCCTGCAGCACAATATTCTATCTCAAGGTATATGAAACCTGTATCAAGTATCAAACAATTCTACATGGAAGCCACAGATGAAATAAGTGATATACTGTATACACAATATACAAAATATATATATATATACGATATATGTTTATATATATATATATATACACTACATATATACAATGTGTATATATAATGTGTATATAAAATATACACATATCTCTACATATATATATATATATATATCACCAAAGCACATCTTCCAAGCTGACCTTGATATGCTTTAGCTGTCAATTATGCTGATTTTCCAGGTCACCTTGGACAGCATCGGTATGGAAGCCGTGGCCCAAACTCATCCCCCTTTGCTTTAGTCATTGCCCTGTGAAAGACCTAAGATAGAACCCTGAAACTGCTACCCTCTGGTAATTTAACATAGCTATGGAAAATGATGAACATGGACCATTATAGATGTTTAGTAAAATGGTGATTTTCCATGGTTATGTTAAATTATCAGAGGGTATATAAATATTCTATTCTATTCTATTATATTATATTATATTATGTTAAATTATATTAAGTTATATTATATTATATTGTAATATATTATATTATATTATATATATATATTATACATACCCAACAAAAGTCACCCCCCGTCATCTTCGGAGCCACGTTCCAAAAGGTTCGTCAGCTCATCAGCGTTCTTGCCTGGAGAGACTCTCGAGGTCCGGGGCCCCCGTGTTACGCAAAAACCATGAGAAAAACAATGGGAAAATGGTGAGTAAACCATTAAATATGGTGATCCAATGGGATTTGTAGCTGATCTATGATAGCTAAGTTGACACACAAAACTTGGTTAACGTTTGGGTTGATTAGGGGGGTAGAACTATAGTCCATGGGCGAAAAATAAAACTAACTTATAACTGCGGGGCCTCACCTTGTACCCAATGTAACTAGTGTTGTTTCATCACCATAAACCCAAGGCTAGCTAGAAAACCACTTGGCTAACTAGGCACCACAGCGCAGCGATATTGGTTGTCAGGAACCAGCTACGCTCAAAGATCTGACGAAGTAGGCTAAAAATAGTGCTGCGAAGTTGAGGTTAGAGCCATGGCATCCAAGGAGTTTCCAACTCATCAACAGGCCATTTTTGGCTTTCCAATTCCCTGTTTGGTGATCTTGGGAGATTCAACCTGAAAATTCTGGTGCTTCCATTCGGATTTGTGGTCTAATTCCGCTATTTGGCACCATTTTTTTAAGTCAAATCCCATGTTTGGCTGTGCAACTTATGCAGTACTGCATGTTTGCAAGAAACCTTTCTGGGTCCTGTTCTGGGTCCTGTATCTAAGAGGAATTGGACTACAGCATTGGTCTCGGCTCAGATATCACCGTAGTAGACCATAGATGATGTTCAGCAACGGGAAGCATCCCACAATTCCTAACAGTTCAGGCAAGTCAGGTATCAGTATCAAAGCCACATTAATCGTGGCTTATGTCCCCAGTATGAAGTCAAAATGGGGTGCCAATGGACCCGCAAATGCCTGGTAGGTTTGACTTTTTTAGGATCTGAAGCTACCAATTTTGGGGATCAATGTGGATCAATGGATCAATAAGTTTGAGCTATCCATTTTAATCGAGTTCGAAAATATTTCAAATTTCAATTACATGGGGCCCTACTGTACCTGTTGTATGGGGTTAATATCGCTAAAAAAAGGCTCTTAGGCTATGCGTCTTCGAATTCATCTATGATGGATTTGTTTGTTTGTTTGTTTGTTTGTGTGTGTTGTCAGAAAATAGAGTCCCCCGAAAACCATTGACTTAAAAACAGTTTGTTTCCTATCAAACTTGCCAGTTTATGGGTATCACTTCAAATTCAAACGAAACCTAATATCATGTTATCATTCTTCTCGAATTCCAGCCTATCACCGCCATAACAGTTGCTTATAACATGTTATCAAATCCCCCATAACTTGGTTGGTTACACTATAGAATGCTATACATTCCCATAAAAAAAATGGTTATAAAATCCTATATTTTGGTTGGTTAAATCCCGCATAACTTGGTGAAATTCCACCCTTTGTTGGACAAAGCGGTTCGCCAGTTCTGAGTTCCACCACATTCCTCTTCAGTGAGGCCCTCCACTGCTACCTTGGCTCTGGCTGGGCTGAGCTTGGGCTCACATTTTGAGTGATGTTTGCGGTATTGCAATTTGTTAATCGGCGTTAACCACTATTTTATCATGTTTAATCATTGTCAATGTTAATCATTCTTAATCAGTGTTAACCAGTGTTTTATCATTCTTAATCGTTATCGCTGTGAATCATGGTTAATCATTGTTCATCATGCTCAGTCAGTCAGTCAGTCATTGTTAATCATTTTTCGAGTCACTTAATCTAGATTATCAAACATGTGAGGAAATGTCAATCATGTTCATCAAACTACCCATTTTTTGCCATAATTATTATCATCAATGTTGAGAATTGGTGTGTTGCAGGGGACCATCCCTGGAATTTTCACCAGGCCTGGCAAGCTGTCCGACTTGTCTGACCTGTTACTGTATCCTGATGTTAACCCCGCACAAATCAATCTTGCTTGAGAAAGATGATTGGCAGGACCCCCCAAATAGTCATTGTCTACAAAGCCTACTACTGTATTAAAATGGTACTCTCATGTACTCTCCAACCAAAAACAGCCCATTGACATTACATTTTTGTTAACCCTCTAGCGCCTGAAATCTTCGAGTTCTATGGCTGTGTCTTTCCTCCAACTTCTCATTTCTATGGCTATTTCATTAGGGAAAATGAAGTTTGAAACCAGAAACAAATGGCAGTTTCCCTTTCTTTGCAAACCAATCTTCGCATTACAGTAAACCCAACCGATACTGTAATTCATCTCCCCAACCGATAGTTTTGTTCCTCGCCAATATGACACATCCCAACTTCGCTGAGATCTGGATGGTTCATCATCCCTGGTAAATATTTAAGTCGCTGTGTGGCGATTAGTGGAAATTCCCATCAAGGGTAGCTGCAATCCACCAAGATATGAACTGATGTGTGTGTATACGGCATATTCATATGCAATAACATATGAAGCGCACACACACACACTGGTTGGTGGTATACCTACCCCTCTGAAAAATATGAGTTCGTCAGTTGGGATGATGTTCCAAACCACCACACTTTATCACACTTAAACTTGCGCGTGGCGTCAGGGTCGAACGCCACCCGGCTAGTTCCAAACCACCAACCAGCACACATGGTTTTTAAGCAAAATCCCTTTGAATATAGAACACGTGAAACGAATGAGGGGTTCTTAAAATGGGTGATGGCTGTTTCAAAACTAAGTCATGGTCATCCATGTCTTGGATGATTTGGGGATGATTTGGGGATGATTTGGGGGACCTCCATGACTTAGGCTCCAAAGATGTTCCAACAAAAATGAAACCTCCAAGCCGGTCATGCTTGAGCTGTCCACAAGGGATCGGAAACATATCCTGGAACCATCTGGAACCCAAACAATCAGTAATCAATGGTGGCTTCTCCAAACCACCATCTATTGTTTGTGTAGGGATTCTTCACTATTAAAGGAACACAACCATGAAAATGTTCGGATGTTTGGGGTTCCAGGATGAATGTTGTCTAATGGATATGAGTGCCATTGATGACATAATGATTATCATATATTACAGAAAATCAAACAATACATGACAACAGTATGATGTACATAAATCAGACATTTGGTTGATCAAGCTAGCCATTTCACCATCAACCAAAAACATCGTATGGAGGTCTCCCAAAATGGGGGTACCCCCAAATCATCCATGTCATGAGAACATTTTAGTATTGAAACCTATCGTGACTTTGGGATGCACGATTTTAAAACCCCCCTAATATGATTTTAGACAAATCATCCAATACATCCGACACATTCCGCCCACTTCATTACCAGCAGAAACCCCAAGTGGATAACAATAGTGTAGTGGATGATAGATCAGTATAGATATATCATCCACTATGTTTCAAATAAAACTTAGATAGTATATCATCCACTATTATAGATATGGGGCTTCCCTAAAATAGGGCTACCCTTACTCATCATCTCCAATATAAATACAGTAACCATCCATGACAGGGGGTGCCCCCCATTGGAAACGGCCAGATACCCTCTGGTAAACTAACATAACTGTTGAAAATCACCATTTTCAATGGGCAAATCCACAATAAATGGTCATTTTCAATAGCTATGTTAGTTTACCAGAGGGTATCCCTTTCAAAAAGATCGCTTTTCAAACCATCGGCTTCCGGGTTCCCCGGCGTTGCCATTCTTCTCTTGCCGAATATTCAGTTTGGCTTTGGATTGACCTCGGCACGGCAGGTTGGCACGTTAATGGATATTCATGGAATATCTTATCTGGTTGGTGGTTTGAACCTCTCTGAAAAATATGAAAGTCACTTGGGGTTACTATTCCCAATATATATATATATGGAAAAATAAACAAATGTTCCAAACCAACCAGTATTAATGATATCTATGGGATATTGATGATATACTAATGGCATGTACTAATGGGATATTTCTCTGGGATATGAATGGGATAGATCACACCTTATTTTTTTCAAGAAAAACTAAGAATCACCAAGATGAACCACTAAGATGAAGATGTTCAAGCATCTTAGTGGTTCTAGAATGTTTTTTTGATGGATTGAGGTCCACTGCTGATGTGATGAAGGATTCGAAAACCCGAAATTCGGTGGATTCGAAACCACTGATTGGTACATAAAATCCTGGTGATTTGCAAAAGAAAATCCATGGGAAAAATGCACGGATTCTCGACACCAGTGTGTCACGTCTTTGTTTAGGGGCCGATTGGTACCAGGGTGAAAATATACAGTAGTTACAGTATAATTTATAACTGTTCCAAAGAACTTTTATTTCCCATTCCGGAATACAGCAGTCATCACATGGTGCTGCATGCTGCGTGTTGATGAAATTGCCCCAGTTGGAAAATTTATCTTGCCCAGTTGGCCGTGTTCAAGAAACACCCTGCATCATGTGTTGAAACAACCCTACAGCTGCTCGAAAATAAATGTCGGGGCTAATCTATTTGAAACAAACATGGGAAACAAAAAATCCCCCATTTCAATATAGGAAAATCGCGCAGCACTCATGATCTGCAGACTAAGGAACCTAGGTGCCATGTATCAAATCAGGTAGACTCAAAATGTTCACTAGCGGACTAGCTCAAAAAAATCGTCATTCTAGGGAAGCCCCCACGAAACTTAACCGCCTAATGAATGAGACCCGCCAAGAGGTCCCTACCAAAAAATACTCAAACACATGCCTCATTAATAGGGTTGCTCTCAACACCCCAGATACGGAAATAGGGGGGAAATAGGTACCATTTTCAAATTTACCTACAAAATTTTCAAATTTCAGATGCCTATTTCCTCGGTTGGAGTGAGAGTTCTGAAAAAAAACTACGCTCTTCAACATCCACGTTGGTTGGGATCCTACCAGCCAGATCCCTGATGAAAATCATGGCGTGGACTACACCATCTATTCACTGGCGTGCCACATATATGTTTGGAGATCAAGTTTTCATCCACATATCAGATCACTACCTATTTATATATATATAATGTATATTTATATATATATATACATTAATTACATAGACATGTAAATATATATATATATGTGGGTTAGTGACCCCAATGATGGGCATAGAATATATAGATGGATATAGATTTGATAAACTTACCTTTCAGTGCCGACATATATATATATATGTGTGTATATATACACATACATACATACATACATTCATACATTCATACATTCATACATTCATACATTCATACATTCATACATACATACATTCATACATTACACTACTTTACTTTACATTACATTACATTACATACATACATACATACATACATTACATACATTACATACATACATACATACATACATACATACATACATACATACATACATACATACATACATACATACATACATACATACATTACATACATACATACATACTTACATACATACATACATACATACATATAATTCACATATACACACTATATTCATCTATATTCACTAAAATATGTACCGATACTAAGAGTTGTTTTGGGTGTGACGATCTAGTTTCCGCCCAAACAACTTCTAAAGTTTGGACTATATATGTTTATACTATGCAGACTATCTGGATAAATTACAATAATTTGGATATATATATATTACAATATATATATATATATATAATAATATATATATATAAATATATTACATAATATATATATATATATTACATAATATATATATATATTACATAATATATATATATATATGTGTGAATTTAACTAGGTATACTATATATATATATCAATATATATACAGTCAGTGCCAGAATTATAGAACGGAGACAGGAGGACAAAAGTACGGTAAAATACCGTACCTTTGTCCTCCTCCGGGTTCCGATTCGGAGCGGAGTCGGGAAATTTAATTATAGAACGGGGAGGAGGACAAAGGTACGGTATTTTACCGTACTTTTGTCCTCCTGGCTCCGTTCTATAATTTCTGGCACTGACATGATATTTACTGCATATTTGTACATATACAATCTATAAAATGAAGATTTAATGAGGATTTAATGAGGATTTGATGAGGAAATGAAGATAAAATGCAGATAAAATTAAGATTTGATGAGGAAACGAGGATAAAATGAGGATAGAATGAAGATAAAATGAGGATTTGATGAGGAAATGATGATAAAATAAAGATAAAATAAATATACAATGAGGATTTAATCAGGATTTAATGAGGATTTGATGAGAAAATGAAGATAAAATGAAGATAAAATGAGGATTTGATGAGGAAATGATAATAAACCGCGGATAAAATGATGATTTAATGGGGATTTGATGAGGAAATGAGGATAAAATGCAGATTTAATGAGGATTTAATGAGGATTTGATAAGGAAATGAAGATAAAATGATGATAAAATGAGGATTTGATGAGATACGATGATAAAATGAGGATAACATGAGGATAATGGGAAATGTGGGAAAAATGGGGAAAAACAGAATTATAGGACAACAGCGCTCCGACAAGAATTATAGAACGACGAAAAAGGTTAGGAGTAAATTCAGATACGTTTTTTTTCTACCTTCCGAGGAAAACAGAATTATAGAACAACAGGGTACGGTAAATAACCGTACCTTCGTACTCCTCAACTTCCGTTCTATAATTCTGTTTTCCCCCATTTTCCCACATTTACCAGGTGATTTTCTTAGATTTCATGGTGATTTTATAAGATTTCATGGTGATTCTATGGGATTTCATGGTAATTTTATGGGATTTCACGGTGATTTTCTTAGATTTCATGGTGATTTTATAGGATTTCTGGGACCCCGGAAGAGGTTCTATAATTCTATAATTAATTTTTCCGTTCTATAAGTAATTTTTCCGTTCGACGGAAAAATTAATTATAGAACGGGGCCCGGGGAAAATTAATTATAGAACGAAAATGGGAAATGTGAGAAAAATGGGGGAAAACAGAATTATAGAACAGCAGCGCTCCGACAAGAATTATAGAACGACGAAAAAAATTCGGAGGAAGATCAGATACATTTTTTTTCATACCTTCCGAGGAAAACAGAATTATAGAACAACAGGGTACGGTAAATAACCGTACCTTCGTCCTCCTCAACTTCCGTTCTATAATTCCGGCACTGACCATAAACAAATATCAATGATAAATGATTAAAATGCTGGGATTTTTCGCCCAGATCGCCGGGCCACTGGGGTTCCCCTTGGAGAGGAGATCCACCACAGCGTTGCAGTAGAGCTCCAGCATGGAGCCCACCACCGTGTACTCGAAGCGATCGGAGCCCTATGGCGATAAGATGTGGTTTTATGGTGCTTTTAGAGTGGTTTTATGGTGGTTTTAGGGTGCTTTTAGGGTGGTTTTAGGGTGGATTCACCATGGTTTTATCATGGTTTTATCTTTTCACCACGGTTTTATCCTGGTTTTATCAGACTGTCATGATTTTTATAGGGCATTGTCGTAACCAATAACCAATGGATCTACGGGATGTTGACGGATTTCTGAGATGGGTCTAGGCCAAGCCATTGGAAACATCACATTTATGGGGAATGTAACGATAGCTGATAGCACCTGTAGTATCCTATGGTCCCATATGCGAACCATGGTGCTGGTATATTTACCTACATGACTGGGTGATAAATTCTTCGGGTTTCTATGTTGGTGTGCATGTTCCATCACGGTTCGCATCTGGGAGTATTCATGGTTTCACCAACATAGCTGGGGGCATCACCGAGCCAGCGGGGCCAAATCCAACAGCAAAAGCGATCGAATTTGAACAGAAAGCGATCGAATTTGAGGCCCATTTTGTGGTGGTTGATAATCTGAAGCCATATGGGTATGGGTCAATACCTATAGATACATTTTTAGTGGGATGAACATCCATTTACCAGCTATTTTGGGGTTCACTAGGTACCAGGGTTTTGACCCATCCCCATATCGAAAGATATCAAGTGGAGCTGAGAATGCAACTCCTGAGATCGTCACAGACAGCCCCATGGACATGTCGATGGGGATACCACGGATACCATTGATGTTCCAACGACAGAAGAATTGGGCAAACTATTCAACTTTGGATTTGGCCTTTACCTCCACTTTCAAGTACTTGCATAGCCCAAAGAATTGACTGTTGACCTTCTGTACTATTACCAATGTATTTCTTGTTTGTCGTACATGATTTTGGATATGTTTGGACAAATACATACACATATCATCACATATCCCATCTCTTTAGACATCCGCATAGCGCACAGTCTTAACGAATCATCATTTGGGCCCTTGACCCACAACTGCTGCACCTGTTGTGTGACTTTGAAAATTTCCTGGTGAAAGAGCCGACCCGCTCGGCAGAAGACAACAGGGGTTCCGCGGTTTCACCGGACAACTTGAGAAATGATGGATGAATTAAAACAAATCTGATTGAATGAAATTGAATGCAGTTGAATGTGATCAAATATTCAACATCCGGTTAATGTCCGTGAAGATATTGATCATTCTAACAATCCCAAACCAAAGGTGGAACAAAACCAAAGGGGGTTAAAACCACCGACCACTCGAATCAACTACATCGTTGAAAAATCCATATGTTTCTTAGTGAAGCCCCATGTTTGTTGGTCAAAAAAAGGTAAAACACACATTTTTGGCTACGTTGGTCGGTAACACCATGTACAGCAATTCCATATCTGAGCTTCACATACTGAATGATGGCAGGTTTTGAAAAGGCACAGCCCAAAAGTGGGTCCATCGTCATTTGGACATCATCATCAAAATAATAATCATAAAAATAATAATAATCATCATCATCCCATTAGTCATCAGCAACATTAGTGTCTGTGTATGATCATCCTATTACTCATTAATTAAATATATATATATATATCAAATCATTCTATTATATAGTTATATATATATTGGGGTGGAGAACGAATGAAAATACTGAAACATGCAATGTGATTGAAACCACCCGAAATAATGTAGGTAAAACAATAATAAACCATCCCCCAAATCACCATAAATAGGTTGTATAAACTATTCCCAAATGGGTGGTTTATGATATTGTTTTTTCCACATTAATGTGATTCATATTCAATCACCTGTGATTGACACGGCTGCACCTGAATGGTTCGCGGTGCGGTACCCTCATTGCCTCAGCACAGTTTTAAAAACATATGCTCACGCGAAACAAAAAATAACTAAAACAGGCGCCTAAAAAGGTCAACCAAAACACCAGGTTAATATGGGTTAATATGGGTTAACCAAGCTTCATCTAGTTTTGGAACTCAAAGAATTAAGCCATAGTAAGCCATATTAACATATTGTTAACAATGATCAACCATGATCAAACTGTCTTGGGCTGGATGTTCGACCTGGACCTGAGTTCCAATGTCAATTGCCATCTTTGTCTGACACGATGAGACAGCAACAAATTTCGGGACCTACCCTCCGATAAACAAACGTGATGGAACATCCCTTACAAATGAAGAGATTTATTGGGAAAATCATCTACCCTCTGGTTAATTAACATAGCCATGGAAAATGGCACATAGAAATAGATGGTTTACCTATTAAAAATGGTGATTTTCCATGGCTATGTTAAAAAACCAGATGGTACTATAACTTGGGATTTTCGAGCGCCAGGTTTGATTACCGGAGGCTATTTTCAGACAAGGCAATTTTTTGTGTCTCCCTTCCCATGTTTTCCAGGGCCAGATGAAGCGCGCAGATTCCGCAGAACGGCCTTTTTCAAGGCGTCTTTCGTTCGCAGCTTCAAATGACGTGTCAGCATCTTTCCCTGGAATTTCCCTGGAATTGGTATGATTAGAGTCAACCAAAGCTAGCAACAAAGGAGCTTCATGAACAAATCAATACCGAATCTATGTCTTTGTCTATACTAAGCAACAATCAGTTCTCACATGTTCTCACGAGATTCGCCACGTCATGTCGTGGCGCCGTCAATCCAGAACGCCGTGGGGCGATGGCTCCAGACCAGCTCATTTAAATGGAGCAGCCGTTCATTTGGAACGCATCTGACTCAGTTTCCAAAGTATTCCAAAATCATTCCAAAATTAACAAATAAGTAAGCATGATCGAAATCACTCCGAAAGTACAACTGGGTGTCGTTTTGATTCACACACCCCATGTTTTTCTTTACAACAAATCTGTTTTCAAAGTTTCTTTTTGTTCAAACCACTACCATCACATGCCATCATTGTATAATTGACCAGAAACAAATAGGTCTAAGGTACCTCAAAATTTGACACTTCATCATCATGTTCCCCATCAAACAAACTCGCTATTTGGTCCATAAATGCATCATTACGTAGCATTCTACCATTATGCTCCAATTTTCTTGTCTGCTTAAATCCGAATTAACATCATCAACTTCCCCCCGATTTGGACGGTATGCACATCCAAGTACCCAAGCATAGCACCACAAATCACCCAAGGTATGGCTATGATATCAATTGCCAATCTTAGATACCGGCAAAATTTAAGTTCTACATATTCAAGATTCAACTACCCGTCCCTATGATTTTCCCATGTTTTTCCCATGATTTCCCATGATTTCCCATGAAATCCCCATGTTTTACAACGTTTCCTCAGCTTTTCATGTCTTCAAACGACATCAAACGACCATGAGATGCGGAGAAGTCGTCTTCATCCACAGCATGGTCTTCATTTGCCCCGTGCGGGCGCACATCACCGAGGTGATGTCCGTGTGGTGATTCTTGGTGGGCCAGGCTGTCATCACAGACAGAACCTGAGTTTCGATCTTTGGATCTATGGTGGAAGAAATAGGAAAATAATGGGAACATCGTGGGAAAATCATAGGATTCTTGGTTCATCATAGATTTTAGTGGACATTTCATGGTGATTTTATGGGTTATACTGATATACTACGGATTTCATGCTATGGTAATGGGATATTCCTGGGATATTAACGGGACAATCATGGGATATAATCGGTATTTCATGGGATAATAACGGGTGACAATCATGTATGTTTGGTCAACAGTAGTGATATCATGGGATGTAATTAATGGAAACTAACCATGACAAATTGAAATTTTAACAAATTGGGATAACAATGGGATAAGACATGGATTTACTGGGGCAATACATAGTACTGGCATAACAACATTAAATTAAATAGAATAATAATGGGACAATCATGGGATTTGAGGAACATAATAGGATTTCATTTGATATGATCATAGCATAGCCGTAACCTGGTCCACTGGGTTGATTCGTTGTTGATGCTATGTACTTGGGTGTGCGGTTTACGTACAAATCTAAGGGAAGTTGACATCATTTCTGGATTGAAGCAACGAAACTTGGGGTATTTCTATGGTAGAATGATGTGTAATGGTGATATTTTAGGGAATACGGCGAATACGGATGTGTCTGGAAATGGGGGAGGCACCCCAAGTGGCAAGTCGACTTGTGGCCACTTGAAGATGTTTTCAGCCAACAGATTTAGGGTACCCTATTTTCAGGTAACCCATATATGGGAATAATGACCAGCCTTTTTTAATTCAGGTCTAAATGGGATATACATATATATATATATATAGAAATAGGATGGAAATGGGATATAGGTAGGATATAAGAGCAGCAATATGCTATTGGTGGTAATACCTGGATGTGCTGGCCCCAGAAAACATGAGTGGTTTGCAACCCTACAACTGGAGATACCCCAGTTCCTAACTGGTCACACACCAAGTAGGAGATATGCACCCAGTGATTGCCTGATGACTGGGCCTCCAAAATGAATAGATCCAAGACGATCCAACAGGGGCTCGAGAGGCTGGGTATTTAAAAAAATGGGGGAAGAGAGTACCAAATAACAACCATCATGGTTAGACTAGCATTTATCACCATTTATCATGGTAAAACCAGCATTTATCATAATCCGGTTTGATAATGGACAGGTAACGTAACTTGTCGTGTTTATAATGATATGATAAACCCTCCGCCGGGAATTGCGTATGATTCTCAATGAATGGGTTTATGGCACTATTGAGGGCATAAACAAAAACATGGCGCCGGGCATTCGAAAGGCTCGCGGTTGTTGTCACTTTTCAAAAGTTTTATACATGGAAATTGAAAAGGACCAAAAACAAAACTTTAGTCTCAGCATCAACAACAACGTCATCGCCATCACCATCATCATCACCATCATCTTCATCATCAACACCATGTCTGTCATCTACTTGATCATCATCATCAACAACAACAACAACATCATCGTCATCCTGTCTGTCTGTCTGTCTGCCTGCCTGCCTGCCCGCCTGCCTGCCCGCCTGCCTGCCTGGCTGGCTGGCTGGCTGTCTGTCTGTCTGTCTGTCTGTCTGTCATCTTTTTGATCATCAACATCATCGTCATAATCATCATCATCACCCAATTATGTGTACAAGTGCAAGAGAACCTGCAGTAGCGTAGCATGACGTATGCGTGCAAGTGCGAGAGAACGTACAATAGTGTAGCATGACGTATGTGTGCAGCAGCGTAGCATCACATATGTGTGGACGTGCCGATGACGTTATTATCCCACCCCACCCCACCCCACCCCGCCCCCCTATCCAATGTTATGTTTGATCGTATGATGCAAAATATGACAACAGCCTCTCAGATGCCCGGCACCAAAAACATGGCAAACCCATTCATGAACCAGTTTTCTGGGGGTATGATTTTGAGTTATCCCAAAAAATAGAACTATGTAACTGTCTCGTGGTTTATCATTGGGTGTATCGATTTTATCGATCCAGTGTCATACGCTAGTTGCGGAAGCAACATTTTTCCCTCCTAGCCAGACCTAAGAAGCACCTTTCTTTTGGGATTAAAACACAAGTAGATTCCACACATTTTATCCGGGTTTCAGGGGAAGTTATGTGTAGGGGTAAGTCTTTGAGTATCAATGGCAAAGGTATTCCAAGTATGAAATGGATCTGCCAAGAATGTCTAATTCTTAGATATTCCAAGATATTCCTTAGGTAGTCCACTGTCAAAGATATTTCGTGATATTTCAATGGGGAACAACCATTTGGCATTTCACATACTGCCACACTTCAAACCACCGTGGCAGCTGTATCCGCTGCTCCAGTTCACTACATCCAGGTGGAACATTGGAAGCGGTATTTTCATTGGGCAAGGGTCCTATGTCTGGTGTAGCAGCAACTACATTAGTAGAAACTCTATGTGGGTAAGGCTGGAGGGCAGGGTTTTTTATTCAATCTTGAACCAGTTGGCAACTCTTGGTAGCTATGAACCACTGTAAATAATAGGATTATAGCGGGATGTTTACCATCTTATATATATATACATTGTATGTATCTCTATATATATATAGTGTTCACATCGTAAGAAAAAAAACACCAAAATAAAGATCGCCAACCCCCGGATCAAAATAGTAACACCCCGCCAGAATAAAGATCGCCAACCAATTTTGGTGATTTTGTTGTTCGTTGTTTTTTTCCGTTTTTTCCTGTTTTTTCCCACCTTTTTTTTTTTCCTTTGTTTTCCCGTTTTTTCCCGGATTTGTCTCGTTGCTTTCCGTTTTTTCCACCGAATTACTGCAATTGAATTCATCAAGATAAAATGACCTCCAAATAAAGTATCTGTTTTTCTAAATAAAAATCTTTAGATTAAAATAAAAATCAAAATAAAGACCACTTATCTGCCCCCTAAATAAAATATTTGGATCTCAAGGCCCTAAATTTTGGTGGTTCAATTGATTTCTCGATTCTTTTCCTATTTCCAGCTTTTCAAAAGGCAAGATACTCAAGCCATTACCCCATGAACCAAATACTTTATGTAGAGGTTCCCCCTAAATAAAGTATTCTGAAATACGCTCACACTGGATTTCTGGGAAAACCCTTCCCAAAACCTTTCTGAAACCCCCAAGACCCTTCGAGCTGGAAGCTGGAACAACCTTTTCTGAAAAGTTGTGGAACTAAAAAACAAGAAGGCTCAAATGATCAATTTCCTTTCTAAACCCTTATTCAAAAATGCTAAAAATCAATCGCGCAAAGGAGGTAGCCCTGAAGCCACCTAACATCTAAATAATAATGAATGTTTTCACACCCGTAAATAACGTATTTGGATTTCAAGCCTCTAGATTTTGGTGGTTGGATTCCTTTTTATAAAGAATCTCGGCTAATTACCCCATGAGCCGAATTCTTGATTTAAAGGCCCCCCCGAAATAAAGAATTCTGAAATGCGCTGCCACGGTTTTTTGGGCAATCAAGGTCCTTTGAGCTGGAAGCTGGAACAACTTAACCTTTTCAGAAAAGTTGAGCATTTGAAAAAAAACACAAAAAGGTAATTTTAACGGTTTGAAATATCGTTACATGGAAGATGGAAAGTTAGCCCTTCGCGAAAAATTAAGTGAGTGCTCGTGCGCATTCCGGGCCCCAGCCCCACTCCCCGGCCTCAGGCTTGGTCAGCTTGGTCCAGCTGCCTCACCCGACCCAGGAGTGCCCTTACGTGCTGGGCAATCCTCCTGGGCCACGCCTGCCGGCGTTGGCGGTCCCTCCGCAAAGAGAGGGCTTGGCGAGCGGCTGCTGACAGCAGCTTCTTGACTCGCCGCGGGCACTGAAGCTCCAGCACCGTGCCGACAACCATCTCCTTCGATGTGAATCAGATCAGGGTGGGTCCAATTTAAGGGGTCTAGATTTATACAGATAGGCATAGCTAGATCGTAGAGGCATACACATATAAATAAATAAATAAATATATATATATATGTATGTATGTATGTTGATATTTACATAAACAGTGGATCTACTGTAGGTGTGTAACCTCTTCGTTCGATTTGTTCCTTCTTTATTGCATCCATTGATCTTTCTGCACTAAGAGATGTCTCAATCCTGAATGGCCGATCGTTATATCATGTCTTTTTTAAACATTAGATATTGTTATCTTTTTAGACCTCATAAACTCTGTTCTCAAGTCGTTGTTTTCGAGGAGATGCATCGGGCCATCGGTGATCAACCTACTTGCTCCAGCAATCTGTGATAGAATCAAGATAATTGATGGTGCATCATTCGTGCTAGTTAATTCTATATCTGAGTCATCATGAATGCACTGCGGTTGGTCCTCGAAGGTCTGCCGCTCGCGTTGCGCACCTCCCCTGTGTTGTTGTTCTTGCGCACCTTGAGGCTCTGGACCGGCTCAAATAGTCAATTTCCTTACTAAACCCTTTCTAGAAAATGCTCAAAATCAATCGCGCAAACGGAATAGTCTTGTCTTGAAGCCCCCTGACACCTAAATAATAATGAATGATTTCACACCCTAAATAAAATATTTGGATCTCAAGGGCCGAAATTTTGGTGGCTCAATTCCTTTTTCAATTCCTTTCCTGTTTGAGCACTTGTAAAAAATTAAGATATTCAACCACCCAATGAACCAAATATTCTATGTAGAGGGCCCCCCTAAATAAAGTATTCTGAAGTCGCTCCCATTGGATTTCTGAGAATATTCTTTCTCAAACCCTTTCTGGAAGCCTCAAGCTGGAACAACTCAACCTTTTCTGACAAGTTGTGTGTTTGGCACTGGTTTGGCTTGGAACCAATGAAAACACAGCTTTTGGGGGCCAATAACCTTACTCTTGCAACATGATGTGTCAAGTGTTTTTGGCAATAGTGTGGCTTGGAACATAAATCTTACTTTCGCAACATGATGTGTCAACCCTAAAAAGCCCTTGAAACTAGTGTGTTTGGCATTAGTGTAGCTTGGAACTCATGAAAACACGGGCACCTCTGCCTTGCTGGTAGTGGCGCGCGACTCAGCGCCTTGCCGCCTTGATAAGACAGCTGCGCACCTGCCTTTCGCAAATAACAAAACGACCCCAGTGGGAAGCGAGCCTGCGCCCTCTGCTCCTGAAGCCTTCGCGCTACCAACTGCACTATGTTGACCTAATATATGGGCTGAAAACGCCAGGGAAACCATTCGTCCTACCACAGCCACCCCACCCAGGGACCCCTACCTTTACTGATGTCACTCTTGCCTCAAAGGACTTGCTCCCTAGGGTTACCGCTGCTTTGCTGCCTAGCCCGTGGAAAAGAAGCGCAGCGTCTGCCAGGAAAGAACGCGCCCCTTCACAACATGATTGCGCGAGCCCCAAAACACCTTTGAAACTATTGTGTTTGGCAATAGCGGGGCTTGGGGCTAATGAAAACGCGGCTTTTGGATGCTTTTGGGACCAAGAAATCTCACCCTCGCAACATGATGTGTCAACTCCAAAAAAACATTGAAACTAGTATGTTTGGCATTAGTGTGGCTTGGAACTAATGACAACACAGCTTTTGGAACCAATAAATCTCACCTTCGCAACATGATGTCAATCCTAAAAAACCCTTGAGACTCGTGTTTTTGGCAATAGTGTGGCTTGGAACTAATGAAAACACAGCTTTTGGAACCAATAAATCTCACCTTCGCAACATGATGTCAATCCTAAAAAACCCTTGAGACTCGTGTTTTTGGCAATAGTGTGGCTTGGGACTAGTGAAAGCACAGCTTTTGGAACCCATATATAAATCTCACCTTCGCAACATGATGTGTCAAACCTAAAAACCCTTGAAACTCCTGTATTTGGCAATAGTGTGGCTTGGAACTAGTGAAAACACAGCTTTTGGGGACCAATAAATCTTACCTTCGCAACATGATGTGCCAACTCCAAAAAAACATTGAAACTATAGTGTGTTTGACATTGGCGTGGCTTCGAACTAATGATAACACAGGTTTCGGGACGAATAAATCTTACCTTCGCAGCATGATCTGTGTCAACTCCAAACACCGTTGAAATTTGGACTGGAACTACAGATGAAAACAAAAATCATTTTATGTATTTGTTTTCAATTAGGCAATTTGTTCAGCAATACTAAAATGAAAAGAGCAGTCCACTTGTATATGCGTTTTAAATTAGGCAATTCGTTTGGGCATATCAAAATCAAACAAACCTTTGATATATATATATATGTGTGTGTGTGCGTGTGTGTTTTCAATTAGCCAATTCACTTGGGAATACACAAATCAAAAGAGAAGTCTACTTCTATATGCGTTGTTAATTAGCCAATTCATTTGGGAATACCAGAATGAAGCCCACTTATATATTCGTTTTCAATTAGGCAATTAATTTGTGAATAATACAATGAAGAGAGAAGTCTACTTATATAGTTATGTTTTCAATTAGGCAATTCATTTGGGAATACTAAAATAAAAAAGAGAAATCCACTTTTATAATCTTATATATTCGTTTTCAATTAAGCAATTCATTTGGGAATACTCAAATGGAAAGAAAGTCCACTTATGTACTTGTTTTCAAATAGCCAATTCATTTGGGAATACATAGGTCTGAAAAAAATCCAGGGACCCCAGGCCATTGTTTGGCCTCTACATTATTTACGTTCCCTTAATGTTTGAGGGGGGTGATGCGTTTAATACGATGTCAACATTATATATATATGTATAAATATGTCAATATGTATATATATATATATATAGACGATTATATGCGTACATATATACCTGTGTATATATATCTATATATATATGTATGTATCTTGTAGTATAGTCCCCGAACTACTCATCAACCAACAGGGGTGTAGATTGCAGCCACCCCATGGCCAAAACGTAACGGATCGCGTCTCCAGGTTGAGGCACTGTGTCCTCGTTGACACTGGCACCACCCTTGCAGAACTTCTCCGTGTTCCGCACCCCCGGCGTGCGGCGGTCATCATACCTGACAGGGGAAGAAATGGGTGATGATCTTTCCTAATGCAGAGCTCACAATGGGTTTGTACAAACATAGGGTCTCCCAAAATTGGGTAAAATTGATGGTTTCATCATGGTTGTTCCCATCAAAATGGCGATTTGAAGGTACCCCCCCCCCATGTTTCAGACAAAAACGAAGTGTGTTTTATACCTTGTAAAAAACACATGCGTCCATGCTTTTGATGCAGTAAACGACTAATCTATGATCCAGCTGAAAATATGCACAAACCATTCCAAAACTAACCGAAAAACATACTCACTGACCATGCTTACTCATCACTCAAGTAAGAAATGATTTTACCGCACCAAGTTGCTTTGGAACTTGTTCCCAAGGATCATAGTTGGTCTGCAACCGAAACCATCCAGGTTGCCTCAAACGTGGCAAACACCTTCCTCGTTTGGGTGAAAGAGCAAGAAATGGAGGTTTCCAAAAATGGTGGTACCAAGTGGTACCCCTAAATCATCCATTCTAACAAGATGTTCCATTATAAACCATCCATTTTTGGAGGGCCATTTATATGCAAAGCCCCCAAATAGTCAAGAATCTATTGCATCAAAGAAACACAAAATACTCCAGGAGAATGGTTGCCAAAAATACAAAGAACCATTCTGACATCCACGATTATCAATATTTGATGTCAGTAGACCAACTGCTAGTGTCACTGTATACACGTTGTTCTCCCATCATGGGAGAAAATGGGATAGACAAAACTGCCAAATTTCGTGGGTCAGGGGGTTTTGGGGCTGAGAAAAATGAAAAAAGGGTCGAAAGGAAAAAAAAGGATTTAAGGTTTTTTCCTTGCCCTGGCCAAGCCAGTGCATCTGCACCATACTGCTCATAATGCGCGCAAAATGACATTTCAAACTGTGTTTTCACCAAAAAACAACTAAAAATGTGCTAAAACAGCCCAAAATTGCCAAAAACCATGCTTCTACGTAGCTGATGCCAGCAAAACAGATGAAAAATATCCTGGCAATGTGATTTGGCAATTAAAAACAAAAGGGACAGTCACTTTTCCTTGATCAGTTAACCAGAAATATGACCAAAAATGAAAAAATCGATGAAAAATTGAATTTTTCGTTACTCTGACCCATAGATTGGTTTGTGAAAAAACCTTATCGCTGTCATGTCAGTGGTCACCATTCATTCCCATTGAAGAAAGCAATGGCCATTTTGACAAATATTGTCAAAATATCACCTAATCATGGAAAATTGAAGTGAAACACTGCACTTGACAACCCGAGAAATGGGCTACAAACATTCATAAAGCTGTCTCTCATTTCTCAGCAACACAAACTGCGATTTAAAAATGCAAAAATTAGCACACAATATGGTATATTTAGCGCTTGCAGAAGGTGAGTGACAAGGATGCGATGGCGAGGGTTAAGACGCGTGGACAGAAAGCGCGTCGCCGCGAAACCGGGAGAAAGAACGCGTCCCAAGAATGTCCAAACAACAAGTCCGAGTCCGTCAAGTTCCCAAAGCTGTTGATTTTGATCATCAATGGAAATGCAAGTCTCAATCGCCAAGCTGAGCTTTGCAGCAAGCGTTCCACAAACATAGCAGTCGCAAACCCCCAGACCCTGCTCTAGTCCATCCAGCTATCCAGCCATCCGGCATGAGTTTCTGCTTCAAGTTCTTCAAATTCAAACTGCAAACCTTTCTTTGTGCTGAAGGTTAATTACAATTTGGACCCCAAATTCCACAGTTTAACTTTTCTTTGGCCCCAATGGCCGGAAGCGGTAGCGCTGTCCTTTTTTAGTTGAAGTTTTTACTGTTTAGGGTTTAGCATTTTTTTGGATTAATAAGCCCGAATACAAGTTTTCCTTTGGCCAGAAGGGCCCACGCGGTAGCGCTGCCCCTTTTTCATGTTTTAGGGTTTAGGGTTTAGGTTAGGTTTATATAATTTTCATTTCTTCCCAAATTTTGAATAAAACTTTCCATTGGCCCAGAAGGGCCCACGCGGTAGCGCTGCCCTTTTTTCTTTTTTTAGGGTTTAAGGTTTAGGTTTTAGGGTGGTTTACATTTTTGTTGTTTAGCTTCCAATTTCCGAATAAAAGTTTCCTTTGGCCCAGAAGGGCCCACGCGGTAGCGCTGCCTTTTTTTCGTTTTTTTATAAGGTTTAGGGTTTAGGTTTACATAATTTTCATTTGTTCCCAAATTCCGAATAAAACTTTCCATTTGCCCAGAAGGGCCCACGCGGTAGCGCTGCCCTTTTTTCGTTTTTTAGGGTTTAGGGTTTCTCGGGAGATTTACATTTTTTTGTTTGGCTTTCAATTTCCGAATAAAGTTTCCTTTGGTCCCAATGGGCTGATGCGGTAGCGCTGCTAACTTTAGCATATTGTATTTGTTCTTTTTTTGTTCTGCAACAGTAGTTCCGCCCTGCCCCCCCTCTATGACCGTTCTAAAATATTTAGGGCGCCGAAGGCGCCGAAAAAAAATACAGTACATAGTACTAGTACATAGTACATACAGTGCCTGCGCCAGACGCGAAAAAAAAAACAAAAAACACCTCTAATTTTTTTAAGGTTTCGAAACAAGATGGAAAAAGTTTTAGTTCCAAAAAAAAAGAACTAAAAACTTTTCAGTTTTCGAAACAAGATGGAAAAAAGTTTTAGTTCCAAAAAAAAGAACTAAAACTTCTTTTCAGATGTTTTAGTTCCAAAACTAAGGTTTCAAAACAAGATGGAAAAAAGTTTTAGTTCCAAAAAAAAGAACTAAAACTTTTTCAGGTTTCAAAACAAGATGGAAAAAGTTTTAGTTCCAAAAAGAAAGAACTAAAACTTTTCAGTTTTCGAAACAAGATGGAAAAAAGTTTTAGTTCCAAAAAAAAGAACTAAAACTTTTCAGGTTTCAAAACAAGATGGAAAAAGTTTTAGTTCCCATTTTTTTTAATTTTATTTATTTTTTTAAAATTCTTTTTTTTTTAAATCTTTTTTTTTAATTCTTTTTTTTCATTTTTTTTTTTAAATTCTTTTTTTCCTTAAATTCCAAAAAAAAGTTTAAGTTATTTTTTTTTAGAACTAAAACTTTTTAGTTCTTTTTTCAAGACTTCTACGTTGAAAATCTACATGAAATCCTTGGAAAACGATGTTTTTTGAGCAAATTTCTACGTAGAAAGAGCTGAAAATCAATGACTTCTACGTAGAAATTTGATCAAAAAAGCATCATTTTTCAAGGATTTCATGTAGATTTTCAACGTAGAAGTCTTGAAAAAAAGAACTAAAAAGTTTTAGTTCTAAAAAAAAATAACTTAAACTTTTTTTTGGAATTTCAGGAAAAAAAGGAATTTAAAAAAAAATGAAATAAAAAGAATTTTTAAAAAAAAAGATTTTATTTTTTTTTAAAAAAATATTTTTTTAAAAAAAAAAAATCGGAACTAAAACTTTTTCCATCTTGTTTTGAAACCTGAAAAAGTTTTAGTTCTTTTTTTTTGGAACTAATTTTTTTCCATCTTGTTTTGAAACCTGAAAAGTTTTAGTTCTTTTTTTGGAACTAAAACTTTTTCCGTCTTGTTTTGAAACCTGAAAAAGTTTTAGTTCTTTTTTTTGGAACTAAAACTTTTTTCCATCTTGTTTCGAAAACTGCAAAAGTTTTAGTTCTTTCTTTTTGGAACTAAAACTTTTCCATCTTGTTTTGAAACCTGAAAAAGTGTTAGTTCTTTTTTTTGGAACTAAAACTTTTTTCATCTTGTTTCGAAAACTGAAAAGTTTTAGTTCTTTTTTTTGGAACTAAAACTTTTTCCATCTTGTTTTGAAACCTGAAAAAGTTTTAGTTCTTTTTTTTGGAACTAAAACTTTTTCCATCTTGTTTCGAAACCTTAAAAAAATTAGAGGTGTTTTTTGTTTTTTTTTCGCGTCTGGCGCAGGCACTGTATGTACTATGTACTAGTACTATGTACTGTATTTTTTTTCGGCGCCTTCGGCGCCCTAAATATTTTAGAACGGTCATAGAGGGGGGGGGCAGGGCGGAACTACTGTTGCAGAACAAAAAAACAAATACAATATGCTAAAGTTAGCAGCGCTACCGCATCAGCCCATTGGGACCAAAGGAAACTTTATTCGGAAATTGAAAGCCAAACAAAAAAATGTAAATCTCCCGAGAAACCCTAAACCCTAAAAAACGAAAAAAGGGCAGCGTGATGTTGACATCGTGATGTTGAAGTGGTCTACCACTACTTTTACATCATCTGACAATGACACTGCAACTGCAACTGCAGCTGCAACAACAACAACAACAACGAACCTGAATCTGAATTCAGAAGAAAAAAACTGAATTTTGGAATCACTGCGTCTCACTGCACATCTCTCCATTCAGTCATGATTTACATAGATTATTTTTACAATTTACAAAGGTTCAATTCATTGACATATTGCTTCAAGCCTTCAACCTCAAGGCTTCGGGCTTCAATCTTCAAGTGGCTTCAAACACACTTGCTTTTTGGCAGCAAACTCAAACATCTAGGACAACCACACAGTGTGTCCAAAAATCTCTCAAACAAAGAAGAGAGGAGGGACGTGTGGAACCCTAAGATGGCAATCGCTAGACAGAGGAAGGAAAGCTTAAAACTTTCAAATACACATGCTTCCAAGTGCGGAAGTTCAACACCCAAATGGAAGTTTCCAGAGCGTGAGCAAACCAGCAAGCAAAGGCAGCGCAAGCACGACGCAGCACCACGCAACACCACGCAACACCACACAATGTTTGAGCGCACCGCACATTCAGCGCTAACTATTTGCAACCAAAAGCAATGATGTTTGTCCACTTTTGACAATGCTGATTCGCTGGACTAGGTGCAAGAAAGCCACAAAATTGTCAAAAGTGGCAGTTTTTTGTTCAAAAACAAAAAATCACTTGAGGTTCAAACAAATAAAAGTCAGTCAGTCAGTATATCATGTTCATGGCACCATTTTTTTCCTCACAACTCATGGTTGTAGTTTGATGCACTTAGATGTTTGTGCTTTGTTTTGTAAGTTTCAGCCAAATTGGCCAGGTTTTTGATACATGTTTGGAATTTCCTCGCGTTTAATCATGTCATTTACATGCCAAAGAAGGAGGAATCAATGGTCGAGTGTCTTTCAGCCAAATTAATTTGATGACATGTTTCACAGAAATGGCACAAAATCCCGAATTTTGTGTGTTTTTCTTGAAAAACCTGGATGTTCCTCGCTGCAAAACACAGAAAAAAAACAAAATTCAATAATTGCCATCATGGTGTTTGGTCGACTGACTCTGTTCAGTGGCATGTGCCATGTTCAGCACCAAAAACTGTATTTTACCGCCATTTTTGGCATTTCCATGAAACTCATCATGCCAGTTTGAAAAAGAAAAAACCACATCGATCATCCTGTTGAATTCAGAGATAGCAAGCACATTCATATGTTATATGATTTTTGCCCAAAAATGCCTCAAATTGGCCTTTTTTAGCTGCAAAATGCTGTTTTCGGCACCAAAACAGCCGAGCTTCGTAGATGACACTGTGTGTTTAACCTGTTGACAAGCTGGCAAAAAAGGGTGCAACCCTTGGGGATTCACCCCTGCAGCTGAAAACCTAAAATTCTTTTTTCCCCCTGTTGGCCCTTTTTTCAACCATACTCCCCCTGACCCACGAAATTTGGCAGACAAAACGTTGACTACATGTGTTCGATAGCCGATGATCAAACACACATATATATATCTATACCTATATGTATATATTGTAGTTGTATTGTAGTGTATTGTCTTGCACTGTATTGTATTATGTTATGTTATATTTTATCATGTTATGTTATATTATATCATGTTATGTTCTATTGTATTATATTTGGATTCTATACTGTCATATCATACTATTTAATTTCAGATTCTATTCTGAGATACTATATTTCATTATATCGTATCATATTATATTAAATCCGTCTACACATACCGACACCAACAAACATGATTGAACCACCAATGATCAATGGGAGCCCAGCTCACGCTTTTGCAACAAGAGCTCTCGCTTGGAAAACCAAACAAAGTATATGCAATCATATGTACATATATATATATATATGATCTAGATCTAATTAGACAAGTTATATATCTAATACTGTCTGATATTGTCAACCAACCTATAATTATCATGGATGATCAGATCAAAATATATAAGTAAAGCAGCATGTCATCATTTCATTATATCCGATCATCTATGAAATTAAATATTATCACATCTGCCAATGAATAGTTCTCATAGGCTATCATGATTGTCATAAGACAGAATTGATAAGACACATATTCGGTAAGTAACGAGTGTAATGTTCAATCAATATCATTGACCATAGATAAACTATCTATGACTAATCATTATGATTCAGAAATAATTATAGATATTATTATGTTTCATAACTATCATAGATAATCATAGTATACCAATCATCTATAATAATCATAATATAGTATTATCCAGTCACAGTATTATTATCATGATATGCTATTTTCAGTAATCATATTATCACATTTCCTGTAATCTAGATCACCCATAACATATCAATTTCCAGTGTCAACCAATGAAAACATAGTCATAGAGTCATAGATGATCATCTTAAATGCATAATTGAATTGATATACAATCTATATCACTAATATATCATCAATATATATATATAATTATATAATATAGATATAGATATATATATATACATATTATGTATATATATTCAATCACTATGATCTGATCATATCATCGCAGCAAAAGCAAAAAAACTGCGAAGTCCAAGGCTCGGATTCACCTGCTTGGAATCCTTGGGATTCGTCTCAAAGAGGTGCCACGCGTCGCATCGTTGCCGTTGCCGCGTCAAAATGGCGCCCTGCCGGGTGACACGGTTGGGTTCTACCCAAGGCCTGGGCCTACAATATAGGAATATGTATATGGATATCATTATTAGTAGTATCAGGACTATCTGCATTTAAATCATATAACTATACACGTTACATACAACATTAGTATATACCTATATCGTCATTATTGGATACATGTATCTGTATATACACACAGGTCTGAGTGCTTGCCGTGCTTGAAAATAAGCAACCAAGTCTGGAAGTTGAAGTCTTCATAGCAGCGCGTGCTTTATGCGCGTCAGAAAGACTCAATACTAGAGATGATCATATACTTACTGTACTGGTTGGTGGTGCAATAACCATCTTGAAAAATATGAGTTCGTCAATGGGAAGGATTATCCCATATATGACATGGAAAATAATCCAAAAGTTCCAAACCACCAACCAGTATAGATCTATAGGCCAGGTTTTTCCCCACCTGCCAGGTGAGGGTTGTTAGATTTTATCAGAGCTGTTCTTCACCTCCTGGCTAGCTGTCCTCCACTGGTCCTCCTCCTCCTCCTTCTCCTCCTCCGCCTCCTCCTCCAGTTTCTCCTCCACCACCTCTGCCTCCACTTCCATGTCCACTTCCGCCTTGCCAACTCTTCGCCAAGCTCTTTGCCAACTTCCCAGCTCAGTGTGCACCGCTGGACCTCAACCTGCGAGCTGCCCAGCTCAGTGTGCACTGCTGGACCTCAACCTGGGAGCTGCCCAGCTCAGTGTGCACCGCTGGACCTCAACCTCAGAGCTGCCCAGCTCAGTGCGCACCGCTGGACCTCAACCGGGGACCTGCCCAGCTCAGTGTGCACCGCTGGACCTCAACCGGGGACCTGCCCAGCTCAGTGTGCACCGCTAGACCTCAACCGGGGACCTGCCCAGCTCAGTGTGCACCGCTGGACCTCAACCTGGGACCTGCCCAGCTCAGTGTGCACCGCTGGACCTCAACGGCCAGATAGAATGCCAGAAGATATGCCAGATGGAATGTCAGATAGAATGCCAGAAGATATGCCAGATAAAATGCCAGAAGTTATGCCAGATAGAATGCCAGATAGAAATATGCCAGATATGCTCATATGCCAGAAGATATGCCAGGTAGAATGCCAGATAGAATGTCAGAAGGTATGCCAGATAAAGTGCCAGAATGTTTGCCAGATAGAATGCCAGAAGATTTGCCAAATAATATGCCAGAAGATATGCCAGATAGAATGCCAGATAGAATGCCAGAAGATATGCCAGATAGAATGTCAGATAGAATGCCAGAAGATTTGCCAGATAGAATGCCAGAAGGTATGCCAGATAGAATGCCAGATAAAATGTCAGATAGAATGCCAGAAGATTTGCCAGTAACAAAATGTATAATGTCATGGTGGGGATCACACGAAGTAAAGTAATTTGGTACCCCAATAACATACACTAAGCATACAATAAGCATACCCTAATGGGTATAGATGCTTAATACTAAACATACACAACAAGCCATCGATTTGGATCCCGGAATCCTGAGATGAGATCCACAACTTCAGGCGGGCCATGTTCATTTGTTCATGGTCAATTTTACAGGCGATAATATGGCTATAATATGGCTATAATATGGCGATATTAAATATTATTAACATCATTGTACCCAACTTTTGGCTCACAGAAAAAAATGATCATATATATTAATATATGATATAATATGCTTGTGGTGTCCTGAAAAAATTGCTGAAGCTCCCTTTATGGGCCATTGGACATCCAGTGGTTGATCACCAAGTGCCCGGAAAATCCATGGTTCAGACACAGCCAGCTATACCCGACCTGGTAATGACTGTTACATAGCTATTGAACATGGTGATTTAGTTCGTGGATTTACCCATTGAAAATGGTGATGTTCCATAGTTATGTTGTTAGTTTACCAGAGGGTACTAAGCAGTTCATTCAGATAATCCCAATGTCTATATGTAGTGTAGCCCCAGAAAAATCATCAACCAACTATCAGTTATCAAGCATATCTCCATATCTTTTGTGGCTGTTAAATGGCTTGAAAAACACGATCAAATACGATATAAATTCAATGGCGGTTAAGTCCCAATTCAATAGCCAATGAACCATCTGTCAACGATTTCTCATCATATTTGCTGAAAACCCATAAATGATGCTTCAATCCCCGACAATCATGAACCAACAGCGGTTGTCGAACGCAGCCACTGCTGAATTCATTGACTAACACAGCCAACTTAACCAGCACCGCCGGTAGAAGCGCCTCACCATGTTGCACGCCAGAGAGGATGAAATACACGGGATTGGCTAAGCGCTCAGAGGAAAGAAACTGCCTTGAGGCTCGATTTTGTTTGTCGTTTTTTTGTTGGGTTGAAGATGGGGAGAAATGTTCAATGGGAGATCTTCAGGACCCTAAAATGGAGGTACTGTACAAATTTTACCATATTGTTGGCCATATTTTGTGGGGACATTCCCTGAAATTTAGGCCGTAGAATCCGTACCTGGCCATTGAAATCTTGAAAAAACTTGCGGATTCCACCGAAATGATATCACCTGAACTTCTGAAATTGTGATTTAAATGATTTAAAACCACCAGAAATTGTGATTTAATGTTTGCGACTTGGGATTATTCTATATGTTGAAAACAACTACCACGGCACTGCTGAGATGGAGGGTAAATGGATTTCAAGCAGCAACAACAAGGAATTCAGCAAGAACATGTATGTATAATCAGCAACCATGGGATTTTGGAAATTGAAATGGGAACTTTAAAAAGTTAAAGGACCGGATAACCCCACAAGTCAACTTCTTCCTAAAATGAGCTTCAATGGTTTTAGCGGGGACAGGGAAGGAAGGAAAGACAAAGGAGGTGGTGAAAGATCGAGAAGGTAAAATGGTAGGTAGGTATGGATGTATGTATGTATGCATGCATGTATGTATGTATGCATGTATGAGGGTACGTATGTATGTATGTAGTTGATTGTAGTTGCATGTGTGTGCCAAAGGTGCGAGTGAAAGATGCTGCTCTGTATGCGGCAGCACTGCAGACCAGGAATCGGCGGAATGAGGTGTGCTACGTGACAACCACACCTTTCCTACAGCCACGAATCCGACGATGATGACATACAGGAAAGGTACCTGCCACGTGATATCAAGGTGGACGTCACCAAGTGCCACGCCTGCCACGCAAAGTGGCGCGGCGCCCCGGGCGTCACAGGCGACAAATCCCAGCCCAAGGGCGCCACCCAGTACCATAAGTGCCACGCCTGCCACGCCTGCCACGCAAAACGACGGTAGATGTGAGTTTGTGCCACGCCTGCCACGTGATATCAAGGTGGATGTCACCAAGTGCCACGCCTGCCACGTGAAACGTGCACGCAAAAGTGCCGCGGCGTCATGGATGTGAGATTGTGCCACGCCGCCTGCCACGTGAAATCAAGGTGTATGTCACCAAGTGCCATGAGTGAGGCGCCTGCCATGCAAAACGACCGTGCATGTAATCAAGGTGGATGTCACCAAGTGCCACGCCTGCCACGCAAAGTGGCGCGGCGCCCCGGGCGTCACAGGCGACAAATCCCAGCCAAAGGGCGCCACCCAGTACCATAAGTGCCACGCCTGCCACGCCTGCCACGCAAAACGACGGTAGATGTGAGTTTGTGCCACGCATGCCACGTGATATCAAGGTGGATGTCACCAAGTGCCACGCCTGCCACACAAAGTGGCGCGGCGCCCCGGGCGTCACAGGCGACAAATCCCAGCCCAAGGGCGCCACCCAGTACCATAAGTGCCACGCCTGCCACGCAAAACGATGGTAGATGTGAGTTTGTGCCACGCCTGCCACGTGATATCAAGGTGGATGTCAGGTATTGTATGTTAAGTTTGTGTGTGTGTGAACGTTGTGTGTGTGTGAAAGTATTGTATGTGAAATTATTTATTGTATGTTAAGTTTGTGTGTGTGAAGTTATTGTATGTGAGAGATGGTATGTGACAAAGTTGTGTGTATGTGACAAAGTTGTGTGTGTGTGTGGGAAAGTATTGTATGTTAAGTTTGTGTGTGTGAAGTTTGTGTGTGTGAAGTTATTGTACGTTAAGGACAAAGTTGCGTGTGTGAGGGAGGCGGCGGGAGGAGGCGGCACCCGGGATACAGAATCAAAAACAAGAACCCCACACAAAGTTGTGGGGAAAAACTTGGTTTTCTTCGCAAAAACTACATGGGATCTATGCATCTGTGTATCAATGGAGATGTGCCATCATCAGGTATCCCTTGGGATGGAACGCTGCAAAAGCTGATCTTCACAAAGAAACCATGGCTGAATGTCTGATAGCGGTAAAATATGGCAAAATCTTGGCAAATGATCCCCCGGATTTTTTTGAAGATCTACCAGAATCTACCAATGATTTCCACGGCCATAACTTCGTGACACCCCATAAAGAACCACTGATTAAACCACTTTGAGCCACTTGGCAGTACTTTCACCACTAAAGCCATGAACAAACCATCAGGAAATCAAAAATCAAAAAAAGCATGTCTCAAAGCCGGTGTTTCATCCCAGCTACTCAGCATCGCTGAAGGTCGCTTCTTGCTCCAGCGCTTTGCGGATGACGTGCGTGGGTGTCTTTCCCCCCAGGAGCAGCTCCTGTGTACCATGGCACCGTGGCAAAATGGAAGAATGTGGTGTACTTTGCCAGCAAAAATAGGGATTTCATGGGGATTTCACCATCAATAATGTATATTCAAGCATCAAGCATTGTGAGTTGACCTTAAACAAAAAGAGATTTCACATGCTTTCATCATTTGAGAATGGACTTCAAAGCTCCAGTTCGTTAGCCGAGTAGGTTAACTGTTGGGTTTACGTTACGATAGATATGTCTAAATTTTGTTAGACTTGTAAGCCAACAAACCTGAGTAGGGAGCACCACCTTGGAAAAAAGTCAACAAAATGGGATGTGTTACCATCAAAAAACCGGGACTTGCCACAATTTTAATGGTTCAATCAACAAACTTTGGAGCTGGTGGGTAGTATATATAGACCATTTTTTATGTAAAAAAAATGTCATCAAAAATTGTGGTGCCATTTTTCAAAACAGATTGGATATGTCTCAAAAATTTGGGGTGTTTACCACAGCCTCGTGGGTTTTTAGGATCCCAGGATTTTGACGGCAAGTTACATAGCCAAAAAGGGCAAGATGAAGACATCCAGGATATGGTGGCTTTATGATGGTTTAATGGATTTTTTTCATGGGACCATAGTGGGTATTACTGTAACCAACTATTAACTATGGTTAATGGTTAATAATGGTTTATACTGGTATTATAATGGTTAACTGGTTGGTGGTGCAATAACCATCTTGAAAAATATGAGTTCGTCAATGGGAAGGATCATCCCATATATGAAATGGAAAATAATCCAAATGTTTGAAACCACCAACGAAATGGGATTTAAATGCGACCATAGTGGGTTATAACATGTTATAACCAAACCAACTATTAATTATTGGGAGGAATGTGAGTAAAACAATGCCATAAACCACCCATGACTGGGAATGGTAAACATACCACCAAACAAAAAATGGTGATTAATGGCGATGACTGGGGGATGGTTTCTGATTGCGTTAACCACATTACTAAACAAAGCGTTTCTATTTTGGGTGTGTTCAACTTTAAGGGAACTGTTTCAATGTCTTGGGTTTGAAACTCGCTTTGAAAAACACCCGAATGGTTTATATACACCGATAAAGGTGCGCCCGTTTCTGACCCCAGTTAGACCCAATGATTTGACGTTTGGGGAAGGGTCAAAACCTATGAAATTGTCATATTTGGGTGGAATAACATGGAATAACCATCCATTAAGCAGCATTTTTAGAGTTGACCCAGCATATGCCAAGGTTTTGACCCAGCCATTTTGGGCTGTCCGATGAATCACCTCCTGTCCGATGGCTGTTTTGGCTCCTCCAGAAGATTTTTCGCTAAACTGCCCCCGCGATCGCGAGCGTTGATCTGCACGCTGAACTTACCTGGGGAAAGCCATCGGTTTTCAGCGCGCGACGACTCATGGGCTATAGATTCGATCCATTTTTGCCGGTTTAAGATTAAGCTTTTAATGGTCCAAAGCAAAATTTGCATGAACTAACCATCAAAATCAAAACTGGGAGTTTTTATTATATGTCTTTGAAACGTGTTTTGATGTTGTTTTTTGCATCTAAATCACCAGGGTACTATTGTTTTGACCCTCACGACTTGCCCCTGTTTTTCAGTACCACTGGCCACACATCTTGACGCCCAAACACCCATGGCCATGCCGTGTAGCACGCCAATCATACCCACCACCTGGCCGTGGGAAGTCACTGGAAATCACGTAGAAGTACGTACTACTTGCTGGCTGCAACCTCCATACCCTCCGGTAAACATACCAAAAGCTATTGAAAATGGCCATAGAAATAGTTGATTTACCCATTAAAAATGGTGATTTTCCATAGCTATGTTAAATTACCAGAGGGTATCTGAAATGCTATTTGGGATGATCATCAGCTGGGAGTGAAAAAATCTCGATCCAAAGTAACCATCTCCTTGACCCATCTCATCCTCTCATGTAGCGCCGCCTGAACTCCTCTGAAGACGGTTTGACCTTTAGAAAGATAATCCACCTCCACAACAAATGGCAACCTGAGCAGTGCCCAGTTCGGTGTCGGGGTCATCCCCTTCGAATTTTGAAGTTCCATACACCAAGAATTGCGATAACGGCAACCACCATTCAGCTAGGGATATATACAGCAATGGCAATGGATCAATACCTATAGTACCATATTTAGGGGAATAAACATAATAAAATCCCAGCCAAATTGAGGCGAACAGAAGGGTACCTGAGACCCTCCGGTGATCAAACATGGCTGGAAAATTACCCATTTCGATCGATGATTTTCCCAACTAAACCTTATAGGAAATGTCTCCTTGCCGTGTTTGATTGCCGAAGGGTATTATCCCCATCAATCACCATTTCCCATGAAATCACTATGTTGATCATGGGAATCAAATCCTTGAATTCCAAATCTTCCACGATATCTTCCATTAGTTCCCATTAAATCACCATTCTTTGCATATGGAAAGCACATCATCCCTACCAAGCGACAATGCTTTGTCCAAGTCCCAGTCCAAGTTGCGACCTGCAAGCGAGCTTGAATTCCCAGCAAAAAATTAAGTTTTGAAAAACTGGGATAACCATGATAACTGGGATATATCATCAATTTGCTGGGATAACTATGATAACTATGATAACTATATCTCCAATTGAATGGACACAGTTGTGGGAGAACTACATGTAACTCATGGGTTCATGGGATATATCATGGTATGAATGGGATTAGTGATGTAACCAAGAAAAATGGAATACAATTCCAACGGATGATCGTAATGTTTTCCGATTTCAGCCATGTCTGAAAGAATAAAACCATAGCCTCCAGTAAACTAACATGGCTATGGAAATGGCCCATTAATAGATGATTTACCTATTAAAAAATTGTGATTTTTCATAGCTATGTTAGTTTACCAAAGGCTAAATACCCCATTTTTTAAAGGAATGTGAGAAACAGTATAATTCATTCTCACGTCCAGGTGAAGGTTAAGGACCTGCATCATCCGTGAACACATGGTATCCCAAATCCAGTAGTTTTATTTCATCATTTTCCGAATTAAATGCAACATCAAATCAAGTTGGTTACCCTCTGGTAACTTAACATCGACCCTGAAAATAACATGTTTCTAGTGGAAACAAGTCTTCCAACCCCTATCTGCCAGGGCCTATTTTAATTTATTGGATGGTATATTTTCCTATTTATACATATATATATATATTCGATATATATATATTCGATGAATATACATCGCCAGTAAATCAGCACCCCCCCCCATTCAAATGGGCCATTTTATGAGCGTAGTACCGGTATACGATACTCCATCTTCAGACACACTCAAATGTCAGTTTATTGGTTATATTTTCAGCATATTCAAACTATTATAGTATGTTAAAAGTTATATATACATCCCCAAAATTTGGTTGGTCAAATCTTTTGTTGTTGGACAAACCATTTTTTTGTTGCTAATCCAAGTACCCAACCAAGCAGAACATAATCCCCAGTTATTTGCGGATTATTGTAAATAAACCACCTGCTAACTGGTTGAATCTCCATTTTTTGTGATTAAGAAAACAACAGTTTCCCCATTCAATTGAACTGCAACTTCCATGGGTATACCACAAACTCAGACCCCAGCCAGCAGTAGTTATTGATGATTAACATCCCCGTATATCAATGATCAATGTATGAAGTGTATCCCCATTGGTCGTATACCCATTTCGGTGGATGCATCCCCGACACGATGAAGCTAAGTTACTTGTATATCGCATCATATTCCATTCTTACCTCATCGAATCCTACACAATACCAGCGAAGTCCCCCCAACGTTGCAGTCAACTGTCATTCCCCCATGGAACTACGCCCCCAACTGCCAGGAAAAGTCACCCCAACTTCTTCGCCCATTGTAAACGCAACACTAAAATGAAAAAATACCCAAAAAAAAACCTACTGTCCCAAGTGCAAAACACCATGAGAACGCAAGTCACCCCAATGGTCTCAAACTAGGGAAAATTATATATCTAAAAAACAATATATTTCGATATCAAAACACCATGTAAGTGCATGATTCATGTATGTTTGACTCTGTTGTTACAAAAGGCATCTAATTCCAATGTTCAAAGTATAATAAGTAAGTACATCTATGAAATGTTATCTTTTTAGTTCAAAGCACAATGGGAACGCATGATTCACGAATGCATTGGTAACAATCTATGGGGTTCTGATTCACATCTCAACTCAATATTTCTGCAACATTCTGCAACCAATTTCTGTGTCCAAATTGTGCTCTTCTTCAAACAAAGCATCAAATTCCCCAGCTTGTTCTGCCTCAACCAACCAGTTTTTTTTCTGAGTACATTTGAACTGAGCCCCCAGGCTGGTCTTAAATCACGGGTTCAAAAGCGAGGCCAAAACAAGGCCAAAAGATCTTTGGAAACCCCTCAGCTCCAACAGTTTAGCAGCAGTTTACCACCAGCCCGGCAGCAAGTCTCTAGCAGGAGTCTAGAAGCAGTCTGGCAGCAGCTCAGCAGCAGTTTGCACGCTGCCCATGGTGATATCCGGCAGCCATTTAGCAGCAGCCCAGCATCAGCCCGACAGCAGCCTAGCAGCAGGCCAGCATCTAGTGTAAGTAGATGAATGGCACCCCTCTCCGGCAGGGCGACATGTCAACACGTGACTGGATTTGCTCGACGGTCACATTAATGAGCCAGGCATGACAAAACAACAAGTTCACCAGTGTAAACATGTGTAAACACACAAGTTAAATGAAGCAATATTTACTTCTACAGCATCATTTTCTATCTTACGCAACTGCTGCACAGAAACTGCTCTGCATGTTGGGGCGACTTTCCCGGGAAGTCCCGTTCCTGAACTGACCATCTTTTTGTGGTAACGCCGCCTTGCCACAGCGCGTCTCCCGCATCGGCCACCAGCCCAGAACACAGCCCAGGGCCCGCAGGAGCCGCAGGAGGACAGGGGCCGGTGGTGTTCCTCCAGGATTGATCAACAACCAAGTTGAATAATAGCCATGTATTATAGTCATAGTCATATATAGGTTAAGTGGTCAATATTTAAACAAGCTGCTTGACATTATGAAAAACTGGGGGCAAGTGGTATACCATTGTACAATAATGGTTACAATAACCTGTTGGTTTAATCTGGATAAGTTATTCCAGTGAGGCCGCAGTGAGGTCCTTATAATTTACCCATGATAATCACCATGAGAGAATCAGTGGTTAAGTGGCAATAATATTCAATAACATTTAACAATAATCCAGTGGTCAATAACATTCATCATTCTTGTAAGGGCTAAGTGCTGTACCATTGTTTTGGAGAGTAGGCGATATAATAGGGTCAATTGCACAATGGTATAGTCACAAGAAGGGGATTATATAGGCCAAACATCACAAGTATGGGATTAAACGGTGTTTGAACCAAACATGTATATAATGGAATACAGTATAATGGACATATTCATTTTATCCGAATTTAATGTATAATAAACCAAACATGTATATAATATTCATTTTACCCAAATATAATGGGATTCAATGGGAATATCACCAACAACATGTGGGGATATGGCTTTGCCCAACCTCTCACCCCGCGATACTGAATCAAAACGGCATTCCCAGTGTCAACTGGTGCTCACAGATGTGGTCATTGCGAGATTCCCAAACACAAAGGGATGGATTGGCAAGCAGAAATTCCGGAATAATTGATGGATTATGATGGATTCTTATTATCAAACATTAAACTAAATAGCAAACAATATGGGATGGATTATCAAACATAAGACAACATGGAACTTGTCCTCTCGGCACATTCAAAAACAAGATAAGACTTGGACGTATTTGAGCTGTTTCTATTCTTTTTGGGAGAAACAAGAAAGTCATCCATGGTGTAAGGGGATGCAGAGATACAAAGGACATTGGACACCGTTGAGCAGCTTGATGGTTCTGACATGTCCTGATGACTATATGACAAACATTCCGACAGTCTGAAGTCAGCTCCTGATGAATCAAAAAATTCCTGCAACATGATCATATCATTATCATATTCAAAATTCACTAACAAATTAGAGCAGCTTCAGGGAATTCAGATCCGTCTGCCAAAAAACCTGAGCGAAGCTGGTTTTGGCTCAAACATGGATACCGTAGATACCCAGGCCCCAACCATCCCCACACCATGTTGACATAATAGTAAAGTAGTGAACATATTTATCCTATAGTGATGTGATAGTAGATATTGGTAACAACATGTAATAAAGCCAGTCGCTCTCTTTCACCATTCAACTGAGTTCCTCGGCGCCAAGGGTCACTTTGTTACAAGCGGTGCCAATCTGTTCGACTTGATAAACTAAATTCACCAGCACCTGAGGGCACCAGGGTGAGCTGGGTATGTGGGGCAGGCTCTTTATACATGTATATGATATGTATAGTACAATATGCATTTATATATATATATACATATAACTTAAATGAGGCTTTTCTTTTTAAGCCAGTTACAAGTTGTTTTTTTTGGAGCTATAACTGCATCTGAAGTCCCACAGAATCACTAGCTACCAAGGAAATGGGAGGCAACCTGATTGCCCCTTGCTGGATGATAAGAGCGTTGGGAAACTAATAGATCAATGGGAATTTCAGGGTCCTAAAATGGAGGTACTGTACCATATAAGGCCATATTGTTGGGATATTCCCTTACATAGGCCTGAAATTTAGACCTTATATGGTAGGTACCTCCAATAAATCGGATCCTGAAATTCCCATTGAATATATGCCATGGTCAAAAAATGGTGGAAAGTATTGGTGATTCCTCCTGGGTGTAACAACCCATTTAACCATATTTAACCCCAATGAAGGGATCACCATCCCCTTTTGTGGGAAAGAGTTACAGGATGGGGCCACCATGGGCCCTTGTTGCGTTCAGTTGCCGTATAAGTGGCTGAATTCTATGGTTTAGGGTAGATATAACTATAGTTATCGGTGATTATAAATCAACTGATAACTGGGGGGGCACCATCCTGTAACCCACGGCAACTCTTGAGCTACTAGTAGGTACTGGACGATTCCTCAACTTGGAGTTGTTTCTGCGGAATTGCGCGGTGACGTACCTATTAATCACAACATCATGTGGGTTTGTCTGAAGGCCGGATACACATGAAATTGACAGTTGAACATAATTTTTATGGGGATACCATATTTTCAGAAAACCCTTATATTCATATAATTATATATAATTATATATATTATGTATATATATATATATATACATATTCACATTCATATAGCTTTTGTGCAATACATATATATATATATATACAGTATATGCCACTTAGATGAGACTATTCTCCGGGCAACTCCCAGCCCAGGCACAATTTCTCCCAGGGAGATGTTCAGCGCGCTTGACAAACTTTGCATCTCTTGAGCGTAGTCTGCGTAGTACGCCTTCTCCTGTGAAGAAACATCAACCTCAAAATAAGGAATGTCATGCCAGGATAAATATTAGCATTGGTTAAAAACATATTTAGGCTGTTCCTTTGAAAATAATGACAATTACCCTCCAGTAAATTAACATAGACCCTGGCAGATAGGGGTTGGAAGACTGGTTTCCACTAAAAATGGCTTATTTTCAGGGTCTATGTTAATTTACCAGAGGGTAATTATGATAATATATGATAAGCTGCTACTAAAATGCTCGCCCATTTTTCAACTCACAGCCCATGGTCGTCCCAGGGTCCCTCCGGTGGCTGTTTTTTTTATCCATGGATTTCCATCTTGTTTCCTACAGAAAACGTATGATATTATGATAAATAACTCATGTATGTTGTTGATACATTAAATGAATTAGTTAATGTATGATATTGAACTATATTGAACATACTTTATATATGATATCAATGATTTTATCATTAACTAATGTACGATATACTGGTTATTGACAGGTAACCTATCCCCCAGAAACATCTTTAATTACCAGAAAAAAATGAGATACGAGTAACTACGTAAAACAATAGTGTTATCATTTATCATAATATCAAAGCATATATCACCATAATCATTATTTCCTCATGATCATAAATGATATCAAAGCATATATCACCATAATCATTATTTCATGATCATAAATGATCCGGCAATTAATAGTTATTTCCTCAAGGAGCGGCGCTGCCGAGGTGCCATGTGCTTGGTGATATCATCCACCATGGGAAGAAGATGTGCTGGGATGTACTTCCTCGGGGAATGTGGCTTATGGAACGCCGAAAGAATCTCATGTTCATATAGAGGTTAGAAAAAAAAAACAAGTTTATAGAATTTGAATAAACACTCACTACATTTCACTACTAATCATAAGTTGAATAAACATTTATAATATAATTTCTTCCTATAAGTTGAATTGGAGCTCTAGTATGTTCTAGCACAGCCAAATCTTGGCGTTGATGGGCCATAGGCCATAGCCCAAATCCTTGCCACCAAGGATCTCAAGATATTGGGTCACTTCTGAGTGATAAGCTTCAAAGCCTGGCCTCGGAGATGTCTTCGATGTGGTTATGGCCCATTTGGCATTAAAGATCTACCACATTACTTGTAGGTTTATGATAGGTTTACCCATAGGATCCATGTATGCTATATATGGTAACATTTACCATATTTTACCATCAATATACCCCAAATGTTAGCATATATACCATACATGGATCCTATGGGTTATGGCATTAAAAGGCATTAAATTTCTACCACATTACTTTGAGTCATACGTGTGGAATCACTTTTTGTATATTTTTGTGAAAATAGTAGTCTGACTCATCGTAATTAATGTGGTTTCAAGCCCACCCATAAAAAATGATGTTGGGGACCAAGTTGGGGATGCTTTATTATTGCGCTTACCAAATTAATCCAATATACTCCGTAAGAAGAAAAATGGCTATGAAACGGATTGCCAAATAGGAGCCCATGCGACAGTCAGGTGAAGATTTTCCAAGAGTGTAGAGAACGCCCACCCATGAACGAACATCCGTATCCATCTTTTGAATGAACATGGTGGAAGCTTACATGGTTTTTTTTGATATAAATCCATGTAAATCCATATACCCTCTGGTAAACTAACGTAACTATGGAAAATCACCATTTTTAATGGGAAAATCCACTATAAATGGCTATTTTCAATAGCTATGTTAAATTACCAGAGGGTAAATCCAAACCGAAATTCTGAAACCGCCAAACTTCGGAGTGTCTTCAAACCGGTTTGGATTGGATGATACCTGGTCCTACGATGATCCGAATCATTGGCATTGGATCATTCGAGAACCAATTGCCGTGCAACCAGGTCTCCTATGATTTGCTAATTTTCAAGAGAATGATGAATAGCTAATATATGGCTAATATATGGAGAATGATAAATTCTTGAAGTCTTGGGCTTGATCTACAGCAAATCACCGGCAGCTGTTTTCGGCTGGTGCTTCACCGAGCGGCTCATGGCTTAGGAAGTCCCACCTGGTCGACAGAGGTATCCATTTCGTCATGGTGGTCCAAATCCTCCAAGTCATTAGACGATGACTTAGTATTGAAACCCATGGTGACGACTGGGGATCCATGACTTAAGAAACCCCCACTTCATAACCCATGAGATTTGAAGATATTTGAAGCAGGTACAGGTCGACCAATTGCCCAAAACTTTGGCCAAATCCCCATTGAATAACTAATCTACCATCATTTCTCTCAGATTTCTCACAAAGTTTCATGCTCAAACACCTAAATCATTGCATATCATCATGATATATACACAAGTTCTATCACTAAATAATTTGATCAATAATGGCAAAAAAAACTCGTGATTTCTCATTTTATCACCATGTTTCATGCTCAATCCCCATCATTGATTGGTAATGCTGCTCGCCTGTGCAGCGGCTCCAAGTCCAAGTCGACCTGCAGCCGTTTGACGCTGCCGGGCACTGCGGCCAGGGTCTCCGCACGTAGCGTCTTGCGAGAGAAAAGACGGCAAGAGGTAGGTGTGTCTGATCGGATAATGGGGATATGTCATGTTATGCTATATGATGCAATATATTTATATATACATATACAATATATATTATAATATACAATATAAAAAATATAATATATAATATATAATATATAATATTATATATATATACGTATATATATGTATATATATATGTATAACAAAGTTGATATGATTTGGGGTGTGTCTGAAAATGGGGAGCCTACCCTCCAAATATCTCAAAATTGCTACCTTGAGCAACTGAAATCAACGGAACTCAAACCGGACAAGTTGCCTAAAGGACAAGTGGCCAAATGAGTTCATAGTGGGATTTCACAGGGTTCATTATGGCTTCATAATGGGTTCATATCCACAAAAAGTCAAATTACATCAAATTACAGTATCTTTAGCTATTTGATCGAATAGTAAAGGAATTATACAAGGATTTAACTGCGAAACTCACAAACTCATTGGATAATGCGCAAAATAATGGAAGTGCATCCAGGAAAATCTGGCGACTATTGTTAGCGGAAAATCCATGATCATACAGAGATTGTCATTGGACAATCCAACACAATGGTTGATCAATTGGGATTCCCATATATTATGATAATCCCCAACTCGCCCACTATCTTGAGTAGTAGAAAGCCACTGTATCCCCGATATGTTTGATGGTTAAGTTCAATAGTTGAAAACACCTTAAAACCGTATCAATGATGGTAAAATCCGCATAAAAAGTAGCTAATCAACCATTCTTTTGCACCTAATCACCATAGTCAATGGTAAAACCCATATGGTTGAATCTAGGCTTTTTGCAATGCTTTAATAACATTTCATAACCATAAAGTATTAACCTTTTTAAAAATCAACCATAATTATGAATTCCCTCCAGTAAACTAAGGTAACTATATGGAAAATCACCATTCATAGGTAACTCAAAGCTCACTTTGGCAATGGCTTCCGCAATTCTCGGTCCCGACCTCATCGTTGATCCATCCCCATGCTGGACACACCAGAGCCGGAGCCAACGCGAAGACAGCGGCGCTTCGCAACGCCATGGGGATCGCCATGGCCATGGCGTACCACTTGAGACTGCAAAAGCCTGCGGTCACGCCGTCACACGGCTTCTTGGTTTAAGAATCAATTTAATTCTGGATTGACATGAAAATCATCTTGAGAATATGAGGATATGATATGATCATATATGATCATATTAGGTCATATGATTCGTGAAGCTTGGTTGATGAAAAAACGACGACGACCGTTTTATGGTTGGTGGGCCAGTTTGCCAGGGCCAACCCATGGGAGAAGCTCAGGAAATGGCCATGGAAATGACCACAGGACCTCTGAAAAATATGAGTTCGTCAATGGGAAGGATGACATCCCATATATTATTTATGGAAAAATAAAACATGTTCCAAACCACCAACCAGATATCTATTTAGTGAAAAAGGCACAACACACGGGACTTCAACGTTATCTTCTATCAACAACGAGCAGATTTTGCAGCTACAGCCTACAACGACCATGTTCTCCAGATTGTTTTCAACATCCACAAGGGCCAAATCATTACCTCCAACGTTCAAGAACGCTCCAAAAAATGTCCTGAATGCGGCAAACACCGAAAGAAAGACCACCTGAGTATATATAGTAGTTGATTATTGAAGAGTAATTAAGGGTCACTGCAGGTAAATTTCCCTCCTCCAAATTCACATAGACCCTGCCAGACAAGGGGTCGGAAGTAAAAATTGTCAGTTTTCAGTCAAGCTATCAAAATACCGGAGGGTATCATTTCTTGTGTACCACATTCCCAAATTTCCCAAAAGTTCTCATCCTGAGCTCAGAATTTCTGAGGTGCCCGAACCCTTGGTCCCATACATGGTGAAGGTTTTTCCAGCACCAGTTTGTCCGTACCTGCCACGGCACATGGTGCGATGAGAAAACGTGATCAACTATAGGAACATCTGGAAATCCCAAAGTTATCCACGGTCAACCATGTATGTAATATATAGTTGTATATTACATATACTACAGCAGATATATACAGATACATCTATTCTATTCATTCATCTTCTTCCATTTATGTGGCAAAATCTTTAAGAACTGAAGGGATCTAAGAGGTTTTTCTAACTGGTTTTTTCTTGAAATCTGGTTTTTCCATCTCTTTTTTCTGCCCTTGAAATCATGGTGAATCCCTTCGGACGGCTCACGCGAACATGGTCACATTGTAACCTTGGCGCTGAAAATCGCACTATGCTCGGATCATGAACGCATGGCTGGGCAGCTTCCCCAAATGATAGATTTTGCATGGAAAATTTAAAACCCGTTACCAGGTGAGTTGGGCGGAAATGGTGCCGAGAAATCGTGATGTGACAAAGCTGTTGCAAGCAGCTAGATGTGTTTGATCAAGCTTCAGAAGGGAGAATTATGAGAATATCAAGGGCTGCCAGTGTGGGAAAAAAAAGTAGGTGGGATTCCAAACATCGTCACTAAGAATCCCATTAATTTCTGATGTTTGATTTGAATTCATTTGAATTCCAGATTCCCCAATTGATTCATATAGTAACGAGGTTATTAATTCAGTTCAACGGTCGAATAAACTGTCGATCCCCAATGGCCAGCTCGCGCTCCGAGGCTTCCACAGAAAAGAAGGCAACATCCCCATGGTTTTATCCTGTTCATGTTGGGTCTCAGAAGAACAGGGTTGATAATCAATTTCAATATAATATAATATAATGTCATATAATATAATATCATATAATACAATGTAATACAATATAATACAATACAAAATAATATAATACTTCAGGAGGAACAAAGTTTATGCTTCTTGAAAGCTTTACAAAACACCCATTTCGGTCAACCACGGATCACATTTTCAAGTCCGTTTTGTGTGGCAGGTGTGGGACGGTCAATTATCACCCTCTTTTAAATATATAAGATTTTAACGCTTTTGGAGGGTGGAAATGCGACCGGGGTACGGCAAAGCTCCATGCTAGGATTCTACCGGGGAAAGGGTGTGCAGAAGAAGAAACCAACCATGTTCACTGTGGGAAGCTCAACAAGCGCAACTTTTGTCCTACCAGTGCGTCACGGCACATGTGTAGCAGTGCAGACAAAGAGGATGGAGACAGACATGTTATGTGGAGTAATGACCAAGCTGAAGCAGCTGCAAAAATCAGCAAATGACGCGGCAATTCCCACTAAATAAGTTTTTTGTACCCTGCATCACAGCACATGTGTAGCAGTGCAGACAAAGAGGATGGAGACAGACATGTTATGTGGAGTAATGACCAAGCATGACCAAGCTGAAGCAGGTGCAAAAATCAGCAAATGACGTGGCAATTCCCACTAAATAAGCTTTTTGTACCCTGCGTCACGGCACATGTGTAGCAGTGCAGACAAAGAGGATGGAGACAGACATGTTAGGTGGAGTAATGGCCAAGCTGAAGCAGGTGCAAAAATCAGCAAATGACTTGGCAATTCCCACTAAATAAGCTTTTTGTACCGGCACATGTGTAGCAGTGCAGACAAAGAAGATGGAGACAGACATGTTACGTGGAGTAATGACCAAGCTGAAGCAGGTGCAAAAATCAGCAAATGACTTGGCAAATCCCACTAAATAAGCTTTTTGTACCCTGGGTCACGGCACATGTGTAGCAGTGCAGACAAAGAAGATGGAGACAGACATGTTATGTGGAGTAATGGCCAAGCTGAAGCAGGTGCAAAAATCAGCAAATAACTTGGCAATTCCCACTAAATAAGCTTTTTGTACCCTGCGTCACGGCACATGTGTAGCAGTGCAGACAAAGAGGATGGAGACAGACATGTTAGGTGGAGTAATGGCCAAGCTGAAGCAGGTGCAAAAATCAGCAAATGACTTGGCAATTCCCACTAAATAAGCTTTTTGTACCCTGCGTCACGGCACATGTGTAGCAGTGCAGACAAAGAGGATGGAGACAGACATGCTATGTGGAGTAATGGCCAAGCTGAAGCAGGTGCAAAAATCAGCAAATGACTTGGCAATTCCCACTAAATAAGCTTTTTGTACCCTTCAGGAGGAACAAAGTTTATGCTTCTTGAAAGCTTTACAAAACACCCATTTCAGTCAACCGCGGATCACATTTTCAAGTCCGTTTTGTGTGGCAGGTGTGGGACGGTCAATTATCACCCTCTTTTAAATATATAAGATTTTAAAGCTTTTGGAGGGTGGAAATGCGACCGGGGTACGACAAAGCTCCATGCTAGGATTCTACGGGGAAAGGGTGTGCAGAAGAAGAAACCAACCATGTTCACTGTGGGAAGCTCAACAAGCGCAACTTTTGTCCTACCAGTGCGTCACGGCACATGTGTAGCAGTGCAGACAAAGAGGATGGAGACAGGCATGTTATGTGGAGTAATGACCAAGCTGAAGCAGGTGCAAAAATCAGCAAATGACTTGGCAATCCCCACTCAATAAGCTTTTTGTACCCTGCGTCCCGGCACATGTGTAGCAGTGCAGACAAAGAGGATGGAGACAGGCATGTTATGTGGAGTAATGACCAAGCTGAAGCAGGTGCAAAAATCAGCAAATGACGTGGCAATTCCCACTAAATAAGCTTTTTGTACCGTGCGTCGCAGCACATGTGTAGCAGTGCAGACAAAGAGGATGGAGACAGACATGTTATGTGGAGTAATGACCAAGCTGAAGCAGGTGCAGAAGTCAGCAAATGACGTGGCAATTCCCACTAAATAAGCTTTTCGTACCCTGCGTCACGGCACATGTTTAGCAGTGCAGACAAAGAGGATGGAGACAGACATGTTATTTGTGGAGTAAATGTCCAAAGCTGAAGCAGGATGCAAAAAAATCAGCAAATGACGTGGCAATTCCCACTAAATAAGCTTTTCGTACCCTTCAGGAGGAACAAAGTTTATGCTTCTTGAAAGATTTACAAGACATCCATGTCGGTCAACCGCGGATCGCATTTTCAAGTCCGTTTTGTGTGGCAGGGGTGGGACGGTCAATTATCACCCTCTTTTAAATATATAAGATTTTAAAGCTTTTGGAGGGTGGAAATGCGACCGGGGTACGACAAAGCTCCATGCTAGGATTCTACGGGGAAAGGGTGTGCAGAAGAAGAAGCCAAACATGTTCACTGTGGGAAGATCAACAAGCGCAACTTTTGTCCTTCCAGTGCGTCACGGCACATGTGTAGCAGTGCAGACAAAGAGGATGGAGACAGACATGTTATGTGGAGTTAATCCAAGCTGAAGCAGTTTGCACAATAGCAATGCCGTGGCAATTCACAATAATAAGGCCTTTTGAGACCATGCGTCACGGCACATGTGTAGCAGTGTGCAGACAAAGAGATGAGACAGGACAGGCTATGTGGGTAAATGACCCAAGCTGAAGCAGGTGCCAAAAATCAGCAAATTGACGTGGCAATTCCATAAATAAGCTTTTGTGTTACCTGCGTCGCAGCACATGGGGTAGCAGTGCAGACAAAGCGGATGGAGGACAGGACATGTTATGTGGAGTAATGACAAGCTTGAAGCAGGTGCAGAAGTCAGCAAATGACGTGGCAATTCCCACTAAATAAGCTTTTCGTACCCTGCGTCACGGCACATGTGTAGCAGTGCAGACAAAGAGGATGGAGACAGACATGTTATTTGGAGTAATGTCCAAGCTGAAGCAGGTGCAAAAATCAGCAAATGACGTGGCAATTCCCACTAAATAAGCTTTTCGTACCCTTCAGGAGGAACAAAGTTTATGCTTCTTGAAAGCTTTACAAGACATCCATGTCGGTCAACCGCGGATCGCATTTCAAGTCCGTTTTGTGTGGCAGGTGTGGGACGGTCAATTATCACCCTCTTTTAAATATATAAGATTTTAAAGCTTTTGGAGGGTGGAAATGCGACCGGGGTACGACAAAGCTCCATGCTAGGATTCTACGGGGAAAGGGTGTGCAGAAGAAGAAGCCAAACATGTTCACTGTGGGAAGCTCAACAAGCGCAACTTTTGTCCTACCAGTGCGTCACGGCACATGTGTAGCAATGCAGACAAAGAGGATGGAGACAGACATGTTATGTG